GGGCGGAAATGCCTTGTTGATGCCAGAGGTCCGAGGAGAATGGCCAGACTGGTTCGAGCTGATAGAAGGGCAACAGTGACTCAAATAACCACCCGTTACAACCAAGGTGGGCAGAAGAGCATCTCTGAACGCACAGTACGTCCAACTTTGAGGCAGATGGGCTACAGCAGCAGAAGACCACACCGGGTGCCACTCCTTTCAGCTAAGAACAGGAAACTGAGGCTACAATTTGCACAAGCTCATCGAAATTGGACAATAGAAGATTGGAAAAACGTTGCCTGGTCTGATGAGTCTCGATTTCTGCTGCGACATTCGGATGGTAGGGTCAGAATTTGGCGTCTACAACATGAAGGCATGGATCCATCCTGCCTTGTATCAACGGTTCAGGCTGGTGGTGGTGGTGTCATGGTGTGGGGAATATTTTCTTGGCACTCTTTGGGCCCCTTGGTACCAATTGAGCATTGTTGCAACGCCACAGCCCACCTGAGTATTGTTGCTGACCATGTCCATCCCTTTATGACCACAATGTACCCAACTTCTGATGGCTACTTTCAGCAGGATAATGCGCCATGTCATAAAGCTGGAATCATCTCAGACTGGTTTCTTGAACATGACAATGAGTTCACTGTACTCAAATGGCCTCCACAGTCACCAGATCTCAATCCAATAGAGCATCTTTGGGATGTGGTGGAACGGGAGATTCGCATCATGGATGTGCAGCCGACAAATCTGCGGCAACTGTGTGATGCCATCATGTCAATATGGACCAAACTCCCTGAGGAATGCTTCCAGCACCTTGTTGAATCTATGCCACGAAGAACTGAGGCAGTTCTGAAGGCTAAAGGGGGTCCAACCCGTTACTAGCATGGGGTACCTAATAAAGAGGCCGGTGAGTGTATAATTATTGCACTGGGTGTCAGATATAGAGAAACAGGTTATTGCATAGAGTATCAAATAGTAATTGCACATTATATGTTGCACAAGTTATTTGTAGTGTCACATTGTAGAGTCTGGTTGCAGCAGGTATGAATGACCTGTGTTAGCACTCCTTTTTACAAACCGGGTGTAAAAGTCTCAATTTAAAGGAGCTGCTCAGCTCTGGTGCAGACTGTAGAGGAGAGCAAAATTGTCCATGTTTCTGGCAACTTATAGTCCATTAAGGGTAATGAATGGTTAAAATTTAGTTCTTCGATATACCATCCTTTTTTATGGACAAACTCGGAACCACTGGCAGCAGAAAGCCCTGCAGCATGCTGTGAAGAATAATAAATGTAGTATTCTTTGGTTAGAAAGACACCTTGAATCCTGTAAACATCATTTTTGATGTCCTCAGCCAGCTGTAGTTTCAAAATGAGAGCAGCTGCAAAGTTTAATCAAGCATGACAATTCGGGGGCTGCTTTTTGCTCTGTTTTTCAACAGATGGTGATATACAGATACCGATATATACAGCTTACCTAACTGTAGGCATTTACACTGGTGTTCTAGCAGTTTAACATTTTGAATAATATCTTTGATTTAAGGGTGGAAATTAGGCCATAATGGCAGATCCTTACCCTCTACATAAAGCCCATATTTCACCTACGCACTGAGATCCTTGTAGTAGATCATTTTGTCTGAAGAAGAATCTGAAAAAAGAATATATAAAAAAATCAGAAGTGTTGCATATTTGAAAGTCTGCTTTATTCTGTGTCATAGAACAATATAGAAATTGTAAGCTTACAAAAAAATTGCAAACATAACTAAGAAATGACCAACCACTTAACCTAAAAGTATTTTTTTTTATATTTATGGAAAAATAAGATTAAAATGACTATTGTGGTTGAGTGTTGGCCTAGTGTGTTAGAGCAGTGCATTTATGCTCTGAGAAGGTTGCAAGTACCCGGTTTGACCCCTGCAGCCTGCACTCTGGCTGCCTCAACAACCTTAATCCCACACTGCTCCCTGTGTGCCGCACAATGGCAGCTCACTGCTTCCCAAGGGGATGGGTTAAATGCAGAGGTACATTTCTCCAGTGTGATTTCAATAAGTTCAATTATTATTATTATTGCACCACTAAAAGCTTCTTACCATAAAACTGTGGCAGCATTCCTTCACGGGATGCTTTTTTAGCAGGCACCAGAAATCTGGTCAGTGCTGATGGGAAGATGAATTTTGCTAAATACAGAAATAGGTAAAGTACCCAGAAATTGTACTCAAGTAAGCTATATTACTCATATAAAAGTAAAAAGTAGCCAACCATGAAATAACTCAACTAAGGGCCTCATCATCAAAGATTCTAGATAAGGGTCCAGCCTATTAAAATGACCAGTATGAAGGACCAACTCTGCCATATTTAAAAATAAATACAGAAATAACAAAAATGTGAGACATAAATGTATATAACTCTTAATTAGCTTCTTTATTTATTTGCCTTTGTAATATTTACCTTATTTATTTTTCTGTCCTTTATATTCTTCAACTTTATTTTTTAATTACTTATATTTTTAAGTATTTATTTATGTGCATGTTATAATATTTTTGTCTGTTTTATTCTTCCTCTGTATTTTTTTACCTTAGTTATTTCTTCGCCGCTGTTTATTTCTCTCTGCCCTTTTTACATTTCTCTCTGCCCTTTTTACATTTCTCTATGCATTTCTGTCTTATTATGCAAATGAGGAGGGGGTGTGTCCTAGAGAGTCAACCTCTGCTCATTGGTTGGCTTGGCGGTCCATCTTCTTAACTCACAGAGCTCAGAGTACTAAGTTAAATGTTCTCTTTTCTGTTGCTGTTGTTCAATAAAACTATGTTTTAAGACCATTTGAGGTGAGAACCTTATACTTTTAAGCATCACCATATGGCCCATTCACAGATTTAATGCGTAATTTAAAAGAAAATGTGACGAACTTGAGAGGACCGCGGCAACCAGCAAAGCTCCGAAGCTGACGGCAGCTGTTTTAAGTAGAACTGCACAATTTCAACCCCCATATCTTTTAGCAGACTCTAGTCGGTCGACAGTGCCATTGGATGTAGGAGTTCAAAGGGTTGATGGTTCAAGCCTTGGCTCCGGCTTTCAGTGTCGTTGTGTCCTTGGGCAAGACACTTTACCCCCATTGCCATGATGGTGGTCTGAGAGACTGTATGGCAGCCATGTTTCTGTCAGTGAGCCCCAGGGCAGCTGTGGCTACATTGTAGCTTGCCACCATCAGTGTGTGAGTTCGGTGTGAATGACTGAATGTTGTGTAAAGCTACATTCAATAGATATGTATAAACAGAGAGAGATATATTTAGATATATCCGTAAACATAATATAACAACAACAACAACATTTTAAGCAGAAGGAAAACACTTCTGAATATTTATGATTTTCTTGTTATAAAACTTACAAAATGTTTATAGGTTAGATTAGTGTTAGTAATGTCCAGTATCAACATACCGTAAACTGTTTACAGTATTTCTACTCAACCTCCGAATAACAAGGCAGACGAAGCCAATGGAAAATAACATTAAACAAATGAAGTTCAGGTGCAAAAAATAGCTCTGACTTAAAATAAACTGTTGGTGTGTGTATGTGTATCGCATTTTTGTTTCAAAACAAGCTTCTTCGTTACTGAGTGGAGTGACTGACAATGGCGGATAGAGTAGTAAGACATTTTACTCAAGTAAGAGTGGTTATACCTCATTATATTGTTATTCAAGTAAAAGCAAGAAGTAAAATGAAGAGCAACTATTTCTTAAAGTATATTTTGTTTTAAAAAAGTCACCAGAGATGGCAAAAGTACTCACTTTCCTTACTTGAGTAAAAGTACAGATACTTGTGTTAAAAAATACTCTGGTAAAAGTGGAAGTACTGATTAAACTTCTTTACTCAAGTAAAAGTAACAAAGTACAGGCTTGTAAATTTACTTAAAGTATAAAAGTAAAAGTAGAAACCACTTTTTTCATGCCGTTGCCTACATTTTAAATGGATGTCTGCCAATAGGACTAGATCTCCGTTGTGTTCATTTTCAATCATCTCGTCGTCCATGCTACTATGCTAACGCCACCGCCACCAAGCTGCAATGATTTGCCACCAATGAATACCGCCGAATCTGTCGATTCATCTTGTAGTGGTGCGTCAAATGCAACGTAGATTCCCATCCAATTAGACTGAATTTGGTATTGATGATGTGAAAAATAATAACGGTAACTCCATTGAAATGATTTAAAACTAAAGTAACGAGCCAATTTTTTAAAATGTAAGAAGTAGAAAGTACAGATATTTGTGTAAAAATGTAAGGAGTAGAAGTAAAAAGTCGCCATAAAAATAAGTAGTAAAGTGCAGTAAAAATATCAGAAAAATCTACTTGAGTACAGTAATGAAGTATTTGTACTTCGTTACTTCCCATCTCTGAAAGTCACTCAAGTAGATTCAGCATAACATGTACGGTAACTAGTTACTGCTCACTTTTTCCCCCTACAGTCAGAGCAACAACTGAACCGTTAAAATCAGACCATAGTAATTAATTAGAATGGCCTAGTCAAAGTCCAGACAGAAATCTAATATTGACTGTGTGGCAAAAAGTTGAAAATGGATGCTCAGAGAAGCTCTCCATCCAGTCTGACTGAGTTTGAGCTCCAGATCATATAGATACGTAGATCTGCTAGGATGGTGAAATCATTCGCTGTAACAACAGTAGTTTCTAAAAAACACTTACTCATGCAAATCCAGACCTTATTTGTTATAAATTTTATTTGTAAAAGTTTGTGAAAACTGAGTAGGATTTTCCTTCCACTTCATTTGTTGATCTTTAACTCATCTTCCCCCTGAAACACATTACCATATAGGTGCTAATGTGAGGTATGGGAAAGTTTATACAACTCAGCTCAACCCACATAAAACTATTTATATTATTTATTCTACAGCTCAAGAAATACCTGGTGTCAAAGTTGGAAATTGTATAACAAGCTGTGTCACATTAGTTGAACAGCAGATCCTACACAATCTCATTAAGTTCCTTATCAAAATAAGTGAATTTATAATGAAAAACAAAGCATTGGATTTTTGTTTTTATTGCATTAACAACATATTCAATAATACATTGCAAACACTGCATAATTTATATACTTAATACCAAAGGCATGAACACAACAAGCATTCTCTAACAAGCTGTGTACAACATAAATCACATATGCATTCTTAAGAAGCTTAATTTGCATAGAAAAGGGGTTGCTATAAATATTCCACAGGAATCAACAAAAGTTAGTCCATGATGAACTACAGATGATTCAGTACATGCCTGTGTAATTCATACATACCTAAACAGATAGCTTACATTCTAGATATACTGACATCTCTTTCGGGTCAGCTTCACACCAGTGGCTTAGCCTTTTGCATTGCAGAGCTGCAAATTAATAACTCTGCAGGTTGTTTTTAGGTCTTGTTTATTCAAAGGAGGAGAATTAAACAGCCATAACTTGAAACATATAACTTGCAAATGGCAAGATTATGTCGTTACAAACATCCTCAGTTGCGTTGCTAATCCACGATTAGCTTTAAAAACATTCTTTCTATTTTCTTTCAAAGTAAATACAAGACAGTAAAAATGCTATTAGCTATTTAGTTTTTATAAATAGAAATAGAATATTGTTAGGTAGATGTCGTCATGTTGTTTAAGCTGCAATGCATTCTGGGTAAATGACATATGCTAGTTCCAAGAAAGTAAAGAAAAAACAATCCACTGCACTTTGTTTCAAAGTTTGAAGCAGTGTTGCACCGATACCGATACCAGTATCAGGCGGGGCCCCGATCCAGCACTAAAATGGTGGTATCGGTATCGGCGAGTACCAACAAATAGAGCACCGATACCATTTTGAGAGCCAAAAGTTTATTTAACTATTGTCGCCCATTCCAGATAGGCAATAAAAGGTTCTACTGGATTAACTTTGTATTAGTAAGGTAGGCAGCAGCTTGACAAAGCCATGATGGTAATTATTTTACATCCAAGTAGTACGCAGTTCTTCATAAATACACACACACATCAATTTCAAACAGATAGTATCGGTATAGTATCGATATCGGCCATACTGCATAGCCAGGTATCGGTATCGGGGACAAAAAATGGCACCGGCGCAACACTAGTTTGAAGACGTTTCACTTCCCATCCAGGAAGGTTTTTCAATTCTAAATGTCAGAGTTAGCGTTGAGTTAGAGGCTTTATAGAGCGGACCAAAAACTAAGCCTTGTTTTGGATCAGAAAACATGCAAATTGAACTAGACGAACGGGTCCACCCATTAAGAATTTCGGTCGTTTGGGTTCTTTGTTAGCCTGTAATACCCAATACCTGTCTATGCCTCTGAAAGGGGGTCGCTAGATGGAATTGTTGGCGTGGCGGAAATTTTGTAGCTACCGCTACACATATGCTAGGTGTTGTAGCACTAGCTCAATCCAGCCAAAACACTAATGAATCAACCCAGCATGCATTGCAAAGGGAAAAAATGGTGACCTCCATGGTGGAAAAATAGAACCAAAAATATATAATATTCAAATAATACCATGTTTTAACCTATCTCAAATTACACTTTTATAAGTTATTAAGAAAAGTACAACATCCTTAGCCCAGCCTGTGTAGCAAGTGGTTGATCCCTTTTAATCGTTCACTACTTTTTTTTAGCAGTTTGCATCTGTAAAGGCTATGCCTTGGAGCTGGTGAGAAGCTGTACATGGATTACTACCACAGTGAGGTACAGATAACATATAACGCTTTCCTCCACACAATGATACTTCAATAACCAGTGTTCTGCTGTGTACTCTATGAAAAAGCCACATCTCTTTTTTATTTATCCTTTGGCCCTTCTGTTTTTAGCCTATTTTTGTTAACTGGAAATCTCTTTTAAGAGGTGAACTTATTTACTCTAAGCAGCACGTAAGAATTTATTTTTCAATATGGCAGAAAAATCTCAACATAACTATAATAATATAGTACCAAAAAGGGGATTTCTGGCATTAAGATGTGTTGAAGTTACACAAATTAAATATTGTCTTTAAGTCTGACTTAATCCCAATTTATATTTATGTTTGTAAAATTTTTTTTTTAATTCAGTATGAATTTCTCTTTTTATAGAACATAAGGATGTGAGAATTCAGCTCAGACTTATGACAATACGTAAACAAAACATACATGTGTCCGCTTTAAATAAAAAGATAAAGCCAACAAGGAAGCAAGTTGGCAGTTATAGTAAAGGCTTGATTAAAAATGCTCTGCCTCAAGTCCTTATTGCAACATTGATCAATTTAACTCCCCCAGATGAGCATGATTATAGTCCGTGGAAAGAAAATTCCCTCTATTAACTGACACATGACTTTAAGTGGATGCAGCACTTTCATCCTTCAACAGGCCCTCCTAAAGAGAATGACCATTTAAAAATAACGGTAAATGTGAGCCTAAATATGATGTTACAACAGCTGCTGTCTCCTAAAATACAGAGTCTGCTCAATGTGGCCACCATGTCTCCTGTTTTATTCATGAGTCATATTGCCTGCAGCTCTCTGGAAGTTTCAACTCAAAAGCTAAAAGCAAATGAGCGACTGGCCTTTACAGTTCTGCTAAGATCAATCTTTTGGAGGAATACGGTTATCCGTATTCAGAGGCTGGAGGTCCTGCCACCAGCTTGCTGTAGCCTGACAAGGCCCCCAAGTCTATGTACAAAGAGCCCTTCCTCCGTAAGTGGCCAGAGTCTTCAGAGTAAAGAGAGGATTCTGTAGAGAGAAAGAGAGAGAAAGTAAGCAACTATTATGAGTGGTGTGTCTAATGACGATTCTAAGCTCCGCCCCAAAATGCTTACCCTGCGTGGTGTCGTGGTGCTGACTAGGCTGCCGCTGCAACATGTGGGTGGCTTCCTCCAGAGCTGAGTCAAGGCTCCAGCAGCGGGGCTGATCTTCCCTGGGAGGATTCAGGGCCTCGTCCTTCAGAAGCTCGGACGCAGAACTCCGCAGGGTGGGGTTCCTCTCTAGGGCCCGCTCCAAAAAGGCCCGCATTACTGCACTGCAGTCCTCCGGTATGTCCTCCAGAGGCGGCGCCTGCTTGTGGATCTGTTTGCACACACAGATAAAAGATAACTCACTAAAACCGCGTGAGAGAAGCAAACTTTAGATGCAGTTGGTGCACAGATGTTCAAAACCACTGTGCCGGCAGCTGTGATCAACTAAGCAACCTGTTTGATGAGGTCAAGGCAAAAACAGAACAAGTTAAAGTAAAACTCAGACTGTTGAAGTAATTCTAACCAATGCTTCTCCATGACGAGTTTCATGGGGAAGTGAGTAACTGAAAAAAAAATATATTGTTCTAAAAAAGTCAAGTATCCATTTAAGAAACAGAACCATGCAATGGAACACTATTAAAAGAAGCCGAAGCACTGTTGACTCACATCATGTGCAAAGGTTAAAACTGCTCTTATCTCCTCAACATCTAGACTGGAATCCCAAAGCTCATTAATGGAAACTGACGTCAATGCAGCAAATACTTTCTCTTAATACATTTTGTCGTCACTTTCTTTCCCTGCATTTACTGAAATATGTACTGATAGCAAAATTTGATTATTGGTAAACGTATCTCTTAGCAAAGGGGCCTGAAAGCTTTACAATCCAAAGAGTTTCATTGCATTAAGCTCAGACAAACAACTTTAGTGCAACAAATTTTATAGGACTTATTCACATACTGCAATCATTTATATGAAAGTGCATTTTTCATAAAATGCATGTATTTTCACTTAATTTGAACGGGTAGGTAAGACAAGATCGTGATTATTCATGAATATCTAAGGAAATTACTATTTCAAAGGTTAAGAATAAAGAAAATTAAGTTTTTGCAGAAAAAAAAAGGTTTGTTTTCGGAGAACAAGCAAACTGTCATAAGATGTTGATATATTTTTTGAGAATTATATATAAAAAATTTACTTATGACAAGAAAAAAGATCTAAAACAAATATTAAAGCTACTTTTACTGTCATATGTCCTGGAAAACAAAAGAAGCTGTTTAGTTTTAGACTCAAACTGTGACAAAAAGATGGATGAGCATGCATTTCCTTTGGATGGTGAAATATTAACCCTAAACAACATAGTATGGTTGCTGCAGAACCTGGTCTAGAAAAACTAATTACTAATTTAGAATCTGTCTGATAAAAAACGTGATAATAAAGCCTGAAATTTGCTTTGTCAGGTGTAATTGCACATAAAACTTAAATTACAGAAAGTTTGAGATGAACTATGCCCTTAGGTAGGTAGATTTTAGTACCATTATAGTCAAACTGTATTATACCACACCACTGATTCTGCATGTAAAGACCTTTTTTCCATGATGTTAGTAAATATCTGCAAGGATTTCTATAGAAACAGAGCAAAGAGTTCTAGAAAAACAACCTTCTCTTTTTAGCACGATACAAGATGAAAGGACATGTAGAGGCGCCCCCATCATTGGTTTTAAAACCAAGCTTGTTTCATCGTTGTTTGCTACATGCCGCACAACCACAAAACATCCCACCTGGCCTCAAACAACCCCTACTGACCTCTGTCACGCAAATAATCTTGTGTGACACTAAAACAAAACATCTTTTGGGTTTAGTGACGTTCATTCTATGTTTTGACTAACTTTGGGTTGAGCAAACACCTTTCTGATTCGTCCACATGAGATGTCAATACTTTTGACCGCCTGTTTTGCCTGTTCTAGATGTCTGTAATATACTTTTTTTTTCCCTCAAGCAGGTATTTTGTAATGTTGCTCGCCAAGTCTTTCAAGGTTCCCTGGAGTCTTTTGCTTGATCCAAACACCACAGCATCCTTGCACTTAGCATAGGAAGCTCCTGACGTTCCCAGTCCTCGCTAGGAGCAATATGGCCGCCCATAATCCTTTGCATGACAGAATGTATTGGCACATCCCACCTCACGGAGTATAACAAAATGGAACGATTGCTTCAGTTGTGTACACTTTCTGACATATGCTAAGGTGCACACATGCATATGTTTGATATTATAAAGTTGAGTTTTAGCACTTTGTTCAATTTGTGTAACTTTTGTTTTTTGTAGTTCTTTTCCAGAAGTCTGTAGTCCCAATTTGACCAGTGTCATTCTTGCTTGTGTCTACTGTGTAATAACGTCTGTAGGGTTGAAGGCTGCCTGGAGTCCAGAGATCCTTTTCTACCCTGGATAGTTCTATTGTTGACCCAGCGAAAGGTGAAAGGTTACGGCTAGGAACAGGAGGTAGAGCAACATGTATTCAGATCTAGCCTTTATCTCACTAGATCTTCTGCCCACTCCATACAACTTGGAAGTACATTGATCCATACTAGACACTTTTGGATAATTGACTGTTCTAGATCTATCATTTTCTTGTAAATTGCATTATTTACATACCAATTGTGTAACAGACTTTGCCCAAACCCTTCTGACTGAGTCGTTTACTTATTGTCTGTCAGTGATTACCTGACAAAAACTGGACAATAAATGCTACTCACAATGTAGAGGTAAGATGGGTAGGCGGTTCGTGGGTACCTCCTGACCCAAGGAGGGCTAGCAGTCTGCATGTGGATTATGGTTGTGCCAAGGCTGTAGATGTCCGTCTTGGTGTTATGTCCTCGGCACAGAACCAGTTCTGGACTCATGTACATCTGTTTGATATGAACAGGGGGATAAAACAACAGATGTTGGTATGAGAAACAAATGACAAAGTGAGAAAGGAAAGTTGTTCATCATTTAGTAAGCATTTATCTTTCTGACAATCAGAGAGAACAGGAAGTGTCCTCTTACACAAGAAGGGGCTTTCTGTAACAAACAAGCTAACCTTTAGGCCCACGCTCTGTATAAATGTGTGTTTGTGTGTCAAAGTGCAATGTAGCCGGTTGGCCTGAGAGTGAAGGCCAAACACAGCAGCCAAATTCATCTTTGTCTCTGTTGGAAATTCCAGCTTGCTCTCCCCCTGTTAATGTGTGTCTGAGCCACTCGGTGTATTTGCAGGCTCACTCTCTGTTATTATTGCCACAGAGTGTCTGCCCTGGGACTTTCCGCAAGCCCAATTGCAAGAGCCTCAGTGTGCACATGTGACACACATAACAGGCCAAAACATTTGAAAAGCAAAAAGGAGCACAGGTTGTGGGAAAGAACGCGAATGAGAAATCCCTGGGATTACTCCTAAAATGTCCTGCAGCTTAGAGCAAAGCGTCCTGGACGGACCCAAACTGTTTTATTAGTAGCTGCTGTTTGCTATGCAGCAACTCTTGGCAGCCCCTGATCCCCAGCTTTAGAGCTTGGAAAGGACAGACAAGTGCTGACAAGTCCCTAGACCAATTAGTAAAAACTTTTTTGGGGAAAAAACAAGTCTGAGTCAGAAACGACATGACTGCTGACTGTTCTAGTAAACAAACATCAAGTCTGATTCGAGGAAGCAGCACTAAAAGGCTGTGTTCACAAGAATCTGATGCTTGCATCCTGTAAGGCTGCGTCAGGCCTTTTTGACTTGTGTTTTTTCTTTTTCGTTTCATACCTCTGTTCCTCTGAGGTCTCTGGGGGTGTATACATCCTCTGTCATCTGCACTGTCAGACCAAAGTCGACCAGGACGGCCTTGTCCGACATTAGGACGATGTTACTGGCTGAGGAGAAAAAAAACAACGATTCAGGAACGAAAATTTGACGGATTTTCTTTTCTTTCAGTTTCAGCTTTTTGCTGCACAGTATGTAAGCTAACTACAGCCCTGGAATGTGTTTGTCCTGATTTAAAATGAGAACAAGGTAGGGTGTGTCATAGGAATGCATAGGAGGAAGTTAAATTAATAGTTCAGCAAAATCTTTTTGCAAAAAAAGAGTCCTTGTTAGAAAAGAAAACTGATAGCAGCAAAGAATTTCCACTGTTTGATCTCTCAAGGCATCCGGCCTAACAGAGCTTTGGTTCCAGTTGCAATGAGTACAGCTGCTTTATCAGATTTATTCTTAGTGTTCAGTGTTGACCAGCAATAAGAGTACGTCTTCATGACAAGAATGACTCACAAGAAAACTTATCTGAGGGTAAATCTTTAGGCTCCATTACATCATTTCCTTTATTGCTAATTAGTCCCTGAACAGCATGAACGGGCTCTGCACGTCGAACAAAAAAAACAAAAAACATTTCCTCTTTCTCTTACGTTTGATGTCATGATGGATAACATTGCGTGAATGCAGATACTCCAGCGCCCGCAGGACCTGCTTGGCCACCCAGATGATCTCAAACTCCCTCATGGGTCCACAGCTGTCCAGCTTCTCCAGGACCGAGCCACTTTCCCCAGCTTCCATGAACAGGTGGACGTTCTGGTCCCAGAGCAGGGCGCCATACAGCTCGGCGATGTTCTCATGGCGGAATCGGGCCTGGAACTCCACATCAGCTGCTTTAAAATGCTCAATGGGGATCTGCAAGGAAATGATCAAATGTAAAATAAAAATCATTGTCAGGACATACCTTTTTGAGTAATTTAGGAAATAGAGCAATGTTTTGCTAAATATGTTTACTTGCACACTTGGAATAACATGAAAGATTATGTAGTAAATGTTGTGTTGTGTTAGAGAATCTGGTTTAAATAGAAACTTGCTTACTTTGAGTTAACTAAATCCTCATTTATGCTTGCCGTGTCTGCAATGTTTACACCGGGCAGACAGCTTTACTCGGAAAAACATGGCGGATGCCAAAAAAATAAACAAAAAAAGAAGGAGTGTGGTCTACTGGTTAAGGACATTGCACTTGGAATCCAGAGGTTCTGAGTTCATGTCCCACAGGCTTACACTCTGGGTCCCTGAGCAAGACCATTAACCCCACAATGGCTGCCCACTGCTCCCCAAGGGGATGAGTTTAGTGCAGAGTTTTAAGTTGTATTACTCTGTACTTGTGACAGTGTAATAACAATAAAAAAAAGCTGAAAAAAGTTGCTCCTACCACCAAATCTTTGCAAGGATAAATTAGTCAACACATTGAGAATAGAAGAGACTTAAAAAACAGATGTTTTCTACTTCTACAGATAGATTATTAGGTAAACAGGGAAAAGCCACATTACAGAGCCACACAATTCTGACTTTTTTTTCTCATTTCTGCACAGAAAATACCCTTATCAGGCATAAACTAGCCCTAAATAAGTAACGCCCAATTGTACTGCAAAGCTCCATATTTTATACCAACCATAGAAAAGTGTTTTTTTTTACACTGATTAGCAGAAGGATGCTAAGCAAGGTCACCTTAGCTTGGTTTAGCAACAACTCTTAATGACACTTTGCAATTGTTCTCCAAATTTGGAGCTTCATAATTCCAAGTAAAAGTAACATGAAAAGTCCCAAGAACTCTGAATGTCTTTGAAGGTTAAAGGTTCCACACTAACTGGACTTCACAAACCAAAATGTCAACATGTTCTCTTGTTCCCTACGCTGCACTTCTCCTTTTGTTTTCTAACTTACATTACAACTTAAAACCTTTTTTCTTCAAATACTGTAGAAATTTTTAAATAGTGTTCCATAACAGTTTTCCCTAGTATTTATGCAAATCCTCTAGTTTATGCTAAGAGAAAAAAACAAATTTAGCTAAACAACATGTGCACTATATGCTTAACAAGCAGTTTGAAAAAGGGAATTGCACTAACTGCAGTAAAACATTTTTACTGTGATATTTATGTTTCTGTATAGGTTATCAATTATAGTTTAAATACTTTGATGCAGTGTTGCATACAGTGATACATAAAACATTTATGTTGCTAGTATTGGTTAGAATAGTCAGAACATAATAAACTGAGCATACAATAAAAATAACTTGCAGGTAGAACAGAATGAGTTTTATACCTCTGAGACAACTAGAGCACATGATACAACTTTCCAGCTATCCATGCAGGTAAAACTAGGGATGCACGATATTGGGATTTTGGCCGATATCCGATATGCCGATATTTTAAAACTCATGTAGCCGATAACCGATATCGATACCGATGTTAAAGCTGGACAAAAATAAGTAGCCATTGAAAATAGCAGTTTTGTTATCCATTTCTGACACTTTGAAAAATAATATACTCAAATATATTTTCATACGCTGACATCGAATTGATTTTTAAAAACGCGGTATCGATCTATTTTACTTTCAAAATCTCATTTCTCATTTGAAATTTCATCGTTCTGTTACAAACTCTCGTGATATTTTGCAAATTCTTGTGAGATTTTGTTAGTAAAATAGATCGATACCGCGTCAATATATCAACATATAAAAATATGGCAAAATTTTGTTGATTTTCGGGGGATTTCGTAGCATAACGATGACATATAGCAATATTTCATTAGTAAAAGAGATTGATATGGTGTTTTTAAATGGCATTATATCAGCATATGAAGATATTGGGATATTTTAATGTATCAATATTTTTCCCTCGTCTTTAGAAGATTTTTAGTCTGTAAAAAAGAAGTTTTTGAGGAAGAAGTAGTATTTTTTTTTAGACTTTAGAAACTCAGAAGCTGATCAAATATCGGGTTAAATATCGGTGGGGTGGCCGATGCCAGATATTCAGTTTTAAGGCCGATACTGATAGGGGGCCGATTATATCGTGCATCCCTAGGTAAAACATTGCCTTCATAGCCAACAAACCAAATGGTAGCACCTAAAAATATTAAAAACAACTTAATCAAAATGCATCTGCTGCATTGTATAATATTAGAGCAAAGTGTATTGAAATATATTGTTTTTATGACATCCTTGTTATGACTCAGATAATCAGCATCCAACTATAAACCTGTTCCAGGAAGTTTTTCCTTGTTTATTTATAGCGGTTTGCAAAGTCAACACGAAATTCTGATAAAACGGACCAAGGTAGGAAGCTGCTCCTTCCTGATTCGTCAATATTTTCCAAGCATGAAAGAGTAAACACGCACTCACACTTCGCCCCCTCCACAACCACAGTCCTACGGATAAACATCGGTGCGCATAAAAATGGGTCACATGACTTCTTGTGAAAATTGTGCCATTTTAAAAGAAATTGCTGAAAAAAACAGAAAAGTATTAAGAGCAGCTGAGGGAGGTCATGTGGAATCTCCATTTTTGCATCAAACTTTGCCCTTATGTTTTCGACAGAGCACAGCACTCTCTTCCTCTTTCAATTCAAAAGAAATCATAGCTGACTGATGCACACATGACCAGTCTTTGCACAACCTGAGGATATCTGAACTGCTTCACATACAAGCTTTACTTAACCTGCCAAAATATTTGGCAGTTAAAGAGCAAAGGGTTACAAGGAGACATGCACAGGTGGAATTCCAGTAACCAGTCAGCGGGGCTCACCAGTTTGCAGGCCATTCTCTTCCTGGTCTTGATGTCCTGAGCTAAGTGGACTTTCCCAAATGAGCCCTTGGGCACGAGGCCAGGGCCGGGATTTTTGTAGGTTAATGTCCATGGAAACAGAAGAACATCCATGTTAATCTGGTAGCGGCCTTTTTGAACGGCCATATCCTTCTGCAATGAAAGAGAAACTTGTTAAATCTTAGAAGACAATGAAATGCTTCAGCAAAATAGAACAATTACAGGAAGTCTTACCTTATTTAGGAGGACTCCTATCTCCTCAGGCAGGTGCTGCAGAGCTGCAGTCTGCATGTTGGACAGGAGGTTCACAAAAGACAGCAGGTCCTGCACCGTCCCATAGCGGACACCCCCAACCCCATTACCATAGTCCTTCTGCTCCTTCCCTGGACCCACTCTGACCAGAATCTCCTCATTTTCATCCATCTCCTCCTGGGAAAGTCCCTCTTCATCAAAAGACAAACCAGCTTCTTCCTCTTCCTCAAGCTGATACAGTGTTTCTGCTGCGTTGATGATGTCCTCTACATTCATATGAGCCAACAGCAGTTCTAGTCCGGTGTCATATTTGTAATCCATTTTTTTCTTCTTTGTCTGCTCGTCTGTTCTTGCACGGCCTGGAATAAAACATCGGGAGGTCGTTATTCTTTTTTTCCTCAGTGATCAGACAGCAAACTACACTGGTGCTTTGAAAGAGGCTGACTGAAGCCAAACACCTGGGAGGGGCTCAGAGGAGGGTTTTCCAGGCAAGGGAGATTTTTCAGAGTGAAGCCGGGAAACTCCAGCAAAGCTCAGCCCTCCGTTTACAGACAGACAGAGAGTTGTTAGGGAGCTGCACAGAGGAATCTAAGATATTTACAGCTACAGATTACTGGATATACTGATAAGCCCTGTGGAAACACTAAAAATACTTTGCAAGAAGGAAAGAAAGAAAGTCTATCTAAGCAGAGTTGCCTCTCAGATGTAAACATTTTAAGGTATTAATAGTAAATCTTTAGGCTTTACAAGCAGCAAAAGATATAGAAACATCGAACATTTACCTAAGATGTGTAGCAAACGCTCATCAGCATTGCTTTCTCTCCATTGTGCACCTCCAGCGTCTACTGCTGTGTGACTGCGCTGGAACGGAAGTAAACAAAGGAAGTTATAGGTCTGCTGCACGTAGGAAAGATGACGCTGGCAGAGTGGGGAGGATTCTTTCTCTTTGTAGGTTTTGGTTGCTTTTTCTTAGGTATTCAGAGATGGAAAGATAAATGGTTTTCCTTTTTGATTCAAAGATTTCTTTTTGGTGGTGAGTTTTACGTCAAGAAATAGGAGGGAATCCTCTGCTTTTGTAGGTCAAAATCACCTTTGATTTCAGTCATTTACTCTCACGTAGAAAGTTGAAACCGCAAACCTTTCATTTCAGTACCATTCATTTTTTTAATGTCTTAAAACAGTTTGTCCTAATTTTTTTAATGGAACAAAACCCTAATGCTAATGAAAATATGTAGATATCAGCATCTCCTTCCATCATCCATCCATTGGATAACAGGTCTGGCATTCCTCTCCTAGGAGACACTTCCCAGCTGGTAGTCCTATAGGTCATCATAGGGGTTCTTCATCTTTCCAGGGGTTTTCTAATAGCGGGGCTGGTCTTTATAAAAATATAAAGTGAAATTCCATTGAATCCTTATTTCTTAACACTAGCACCCTACTGAGAAAGCCTATTTTAAACACTTTTATCCGGGATCTTTTAAATACAAACTAGGGTCAGAATGTAGAGCAAGGACTAATACAATAGCTTTGCTTTTTGCCTTATATTCTTCTTCACAGTTATAGAATAATGCATCACAAATATTGCAGATGGGACCTCAGATGATTCGTTCATCTATTTTTCTGTCCTTAGCTTGGGAACTATGGAGCAGATTTTTTTTTTTCATTATTGTTGCAAAAAAAAAAAAAAATGTTATCCAGAAATGAAACTTTAAATATTTTAAAAATAAAAAGCTTTACAATTAGTTTGCCTTTTTATTGTTTTATGACCCATTTTCTTAGTTTCTCAGTTGTTTTTTTTTTTATGTTTTCTTTTTTATTTTATTTTATATTTACATTTTTTGACATAAAATTTTCCAGAATTTTTTTTGTGGATGTTATATTTTCATTTTTTTTTTCTTTTTACAAATTGCGTAACTTAAGTTCTCTACACTTCAGACCCCATGCAAATACACTTGATGCATACATTGACCCGAAAAAATGCTGTTGCTGACTTCTATGCAGAATATTAGAAATGCATTTTCTCTCCTCACTCTAGACTCTAGAATGAGTTTTACAAACAAAACAAAAATAAGACAATAAGCCGGTCCCATCGTGGCGTAATCGGAAACACTGACACACGAAGTATGCTCCTGATGTCCGGTCTGCTCCGTAGCTTTGTTTTGGTCGCTGTAACTGCAGAAAATCCTGCTTCACAAAGTTAGGACGTTATAGATAGGATGAGTCTTGATCTGAATTAACCTGTGTCAAGAGGCAGAGATGCACCAACTGATGTAACTGGGAGAGAATACCGCAATTTATTATATTTTTCAAATTAATTTTATTTTTTTTTTCTGTGCGGCCCGGTACCAAATGACCCACGGACCGGTAGCGGTCCGCGGCCCGGTGGTTGGGGACCGCTGCTCTAGAGGAAAGCCCACTCCCAGAAGTGAAGAGAATGTGATCTGTAAAAAAAGAATGCAATTAGTAAAACTCAATCTAATAGCATGTAAATAAAATTTAAAATATGAAATTTATAAAAATAAATTAAGGAATAAAATAAAAAACATTGTCAAAATGAAAAATCTGTAACAATCTGTAAAGTAAACATGAATTAAAAAATAAGCTAAACAAAAAATAAGCAGTCATTTTTTTTATTTATTTTTTTTTTTTATGAATTAAAACATTTGTCAATGTTTAATCTCTGGATTTTTTTTTCATTTAAATTTCCATTTAAAAATGTACCGGGCAACATATCAACATTCTTGAATTCCTTCACCTTTGGCAGAGACTTTGTATTAATTCAGAGAAAGATAGAGCATCTTCTCCTAAGGACAGTGATCTCAGATCCGGCAGCTGTCACTCTCGGCTCTGAACTAACTCAATGAAACACCAACAGAACCATATAAATTCCAAAGAGGAAAGATATATCTAGAAAATAACATCAATGAGGTATATGAACCCAACCCAACCGTTTTTCATGACTTATCTTTATTCATTTTTATGATAGTGACAGCTTCTAGAGAATGAGCCAAATGATCTTAATCAGTAACATGTATCTGCAGTTAGAGGGATGTTTATCTTAAGAAGTGTTTTTTAAAGTGTGATTGACGGAATCATCACAGCAGTTAAAAAGACATGGGGATAAGCTCAAATATGTAAAACCTTAAGTGGGCTTTTTTACACAGTACAATGTCATCATTTATAGAAAACCCATAGGCAGAAAAAAAAAGCTTGTGTGAAAACTAAGCGGACCACATCAATGGATTCAATCATTTGTATCACATTTTGCATCTTTAGCAGTGAGAACTGGAAGTATATGTTCTTTGAATAACTTTTTAGGCTGACATGCGTGTAATTTTTGAACTTTAAGGTTTAACAAGCTAATTGAGGCATGCAAAGTCTGAATTTAAGTTCTTGTGTTTCCTGTATTTTTTTTTCTTCTGAACATTGCAAAGTGAAAGTCCCAGCAGGTGAAGTTCAGGAGACCCACTTTTTGGCAACAGCCTTTGATGTTTATATGTTTCATTGCTGTAAGGCTTTTTAAACAAATAAATAAAATAAAATAAAAAACATAAATAAACAAAATAAAATAAAAAATAAATAAAGGTTAGCCATTTCCAATCGATGCACTTTAAAAGTGCTTTTTTAATATCACTTCGCATTAAGTCACTTATTTTTGGTACTAGTCGCTTGCTGTAGTTTTGGTCTCTCCTCGCGCATGCGCATTTCGTCATCTTTCCCAGGAGCAATGGCGTCTCCCTTTACTATTCACAGGTTACATATGAGAGGAAGGAGTCGTCTTTTAAAATGCCTAAACACAGTCGAAACAGTTTTCCGAAGGAGTGTTGGAACAGAGCCGATAGTCGCCCAGACTGAGGGAGTTCAGGACAACGATTGTGGTCAGTGAGAAGAGATAAATTAATTTCTTTACAGATCAGCTATGTTCCAAGGGGACGCCATTACGAACTCCGCAGAATAAACCGGAGTTTTATTTTCATTTAGCTGTAGTTTTCACGATCTGGATTGTTTTAAAAACTGCACGATATTCTGAGATTGGATTTGCTTTTACGTGACATTCGGCCTTGTGTGCGTCCACCATAAATTGTTTATTTAAATAAATGTATTAGAAAATATATTTCTGGATGAACTATCTAATTTCATACCACGTTAATTCCAAGCAAGTCATTTAATTTACAATAGCTATTTGTTAAATACTTATTTTTATATGTATTTAGTTAGTTGACTTTGTAATGTTTATGATAATTGCCGCTCACTGTTATGATCAGAATCATTAATCTAATTACTGAGTTTAATAATTAAAATATATTTTTATTATTATTATTCATTTAACCTTCTTAAAGCCTGAAATATCATAGTGTCTTACTTTATTATAGCATCAGAATCTCATTAAATTACCTAAAATATTGAATCTTACAGATCCTAACTTCCAATTGGTTAACCTCCACAGCAGACCAGCCACAGCTGGCCAATCAAACTCTTTAGATCTGTGTTGGCCCCGCCCCAAAATATATTCCATGCTCCCCATAAAGACTCCAAATAGCTAAGTGATACTTACATATTTATACAGTTTACATTTTTACAGTACTTTTAAAAATGACATCAACAGATTAAGAAAATTTGTCATCTTGCATGATACTCCTTTTTCTTTTTAAATTTAACTGTTTTTATTTATCTTTGTTCATAGCACTTAAAGATGGGCTACCGAAATGGTTCTATAAAAACCAGTTGCTATTATAATTATTATTTGTTCTTTAATAAGTGGTTTTAAAGATTAATTCCAAAAATATGACTTAGAACCTTTTCTATCTTTTACACTAATTAATTGGGCAGAATCTTTGTTGATAACCTGCAATTACGTTTGTCACAATACTTAACCCTTTATAGGGCATTCAGTGAAATATTTTGAAAATCCAAATTTCAAGCCAAGAGTGTTTATTAGAATCCAAGGCAAGACCTTATTACCTTTGTAAAATTAAAAAAATATGGATATTTTGATGGTAATAATTAATGTAATAACAACGCCAACTTTCCCGGATATATTAAGAAAAATAAAAGTGCTTCTATAAGAAATTAATGAAAAACATCCCTAGAGTGAAAAAAACACATTTTTTGGTCCAACATAATCTTCGAGGCATTAATGTTGATACTGGCATTTACATTTTTTTAGTTTATAAACCTAAATATAATTGTTAGCTAGGCGTTTTAACTTTTTAATTCGCTTTTTACCTTTTTTTTTTACTTGTTAACTTTCTTTTCAGCCTAATTTACAGTAGGTAATATATCATTCTAGGGCTTATCTAATTGGTCAAATGTCAAAATAAGATGTAGAGCCATGAAGCAGGATTTTTGCTGAATGGCTTGATATAGATCTTGTTCTTCTAGACCTCACTAAGGGATGGGGGGGGGGCTTCATTTGTAAGAGGAATACAAGTGATTAAATAATGGTAACTGCCTTATAAAGGGTTAAGTTCTAAACTGGATATTTACACCTCATTCGTAACTTTAGATAATCAATACCAATTTTCAATACTACGGGAATTCAAAATGCCGGATAATTCTAGAAATAAAAGATATATTTATTAAAATGGAAAACTCAAAATTTCTCAATTTTAGCTTTCATTTCTCAACGGAATCACAGATACTATGTGTGCAAATAAATGCAAAATAAATAACCCAAATATAACTCAGTTTGACAATATTTTAAGGTTGTTTGGGGTACTAATCTTTAATATGGAAATAATCCAGAAATCTACAATAAACAAAAGCAAAAATATGCAAACAACAATTGTCTTTATTGTTGATATTAGGGCTGCAACTAACGATTATTTTAAAAATCGATGAATCGGACAAAAAATATTTTTATATTAACCTCTTTATTCCAAAATAAAGATTTTAGACAGAACAAACAAGCACACAAGTACAGGTTGCTCATTAACTGTACTGGTGCAATATGAAAAATAAATGTTTGTGTTAAAACTACGCAAACTTACATGAGAAATGTAGCTATACATCCACAAAATATAGGCTACTTTGTTTCATAAAGTGCAAAAAAAGACATTTTTGTTTTTAAAGCCCCTAAGGGGTTCAAACAATAGCCCCCCCCATATCAACAAATTAGGTTTTTTTTAGACTAGAAGAGTTCTGCATTTTAAGACAGGAAAGTATAGCAGTTAAAGTTGCTACTTGAGAAAATACTGAACCATATAGATAAAAATAGCCCTGTGATTCAAATTATAAATTGTATTTGGAATAAAAATGAGAGAACTAGGGGTGCTAAAAAACACATCCTCCAAAGACAGATATTTACATGGGAATGTGGCAGATAATTAATTGACATATTACTGATCTTGCTGGATTTTGTTCTGCTTTACTTCCATAAATTGCAGGATCTTCTTAACTTTATCTTTGCCAGAAGATTTAAACTTTAAAAGCCTTGCCCTCATAATTTGCAAGTTGATTTATTTATAAAGAAAATATAAACGCTGCTTAAGCTAATTCAAATGAAATTAAAAGTAAAATCAGTAGCCAACCTTATCACTGTCTGTAACCTACTAACACGGTAAGGAAAGCATCAGATGAGCTACCTGAGAAACTAACGTTACGTTTCCCCACTTTAAAACCAAACAAACATGGCCGCTCACCCTGCTGATCAGCTCTCTTCACTGCCATTGAAGGCTCCAACGTGTTTTCTTTTCAGTTGCTGCATCATAACAGTGGTGCTTCCGTGCCATGTTAATTTGTTTTTACAAAAGTTGCATGTTACGACTTTTTTCGCTTTACAAAGCGCAGGCTATTTTAATTATTGTGATCAATTTGCTCCGTCAATCCCGGTGCATGCGCGCTTCATTTGCAGTGTGGACGCTGAGGATAAAGATCCTGCTGCTCTGACTGCAGCGCTGAGAGGGACTCCTGCGGGAGAACGGGGTTGGGATGGGGGAGGCGCCCCACGGCAGCAGCTGCCGATGGCGGCGGATGACGCATTAATCGCGCGCACAACTAATCGATGATGAAATTCGTTGCCAACGCTTTTAAAAGTCGATTTTTATCGATTTTATCGATTCATTGTTGCAGCCCTAGTTGATACCATGATAAATTAGTGCTGTTTTCAGATACATCATCTGTATATCTGTGCTTTTCAGAGTATTGATATTTTTGACAACCCTACCTGCAACATTTCCATTAATTGCAGGTGCAAAAAAGCGCCTCTTATTGATTATCTTTGAAGATCAGGAGCTTAGTTGGAATCATTGGAAATATTCCAATCCCAAGGATCTGATCCTATGAATTAAATGTACAACTTTAAACTAATTTATCATGTTTCTATTCCATAATAAAAAGAATAGCAGGAAATTGACATATCCAAACTTTTTTTTTTTTTTTATGCAAGTCAGGTTTGTTTCAGTTCAACAATTGAGCACTTCTGTATGATTCTGTGTTGCTCGGTCTCGAAGCGGTTCAGCTGTTGAATTAATTTGCTGATTTAATGTATTTTAACCTGTTTGATAAAGAAGTGTTGATCAGCCCCGATTTCCTTAATTTTGGGAACTTTTTGGGAAATTTTGGGAAATCAGGAACTCTCAATGTTCCAAACCTTTTATTTGCAAGCATTGTCTCCTTCAATTAACATTATTTGTGATCCGCTATAGAGTGTGTGACTCATTTTTAAGTTCTATATTTTAAGCCAGGCTTCCTGCCAAAGAGCTTTTTATTTCAAACGGGAATTCACATAAAGCCGACTCCCTAAATGAGGTGAGGAATCTGTAATTGTGGTTGTTTTTCTGTCACCAGGAGAAAACGATGCACCCAAATCTTTGTATGACCTCATGGCACACAGACAAGAACAGGCGGAGAGATCTGTTCTCATCAGCTGCCCGTCCAGAACCAGCGAGAAAAAGTTCCTGAAGTTTTTATCAAAGCATGGAGACATCAAGAAGCACTTCTTTTATGAAAGTTACGTAAGTGTTGGACCAGCAGGTTTATACGTTTTTTTTTACCATGTTTCATAGTGTCTGTTTGTTTAGGATCTCTTGTCCTTCAGGGCGTCTACGCTGTCGTGGAGTTCGGCAGTCGGGATAATGTCGTCTCTCTGCTCGATTCAGCCGCCATTCCGATCGTCAGCCATGACTCCACGGTGCCCTTTAAATCCAGACTCCTGGCCCTGAGAAATCACAGCTCTTTGGACTCAGCAAGCCAACCGTCCAGCCTCCCCTGCCAGCCTCAGACCACGGTTCCCATCAATGAGCTCATCCAGAGGCTATCCAGGGAGGAGAGCGTAAGCACATGCCTCAATCAAACAACAGGAAGAACTAGTTGGGGTTTTGGTTTGTATTTATGAGGTTATCAGGTCAGACAGAACTGATTGGATTTCTTTCTTCTGCTCTTTTCAGATAGATGAGCAGATAAGCTCCCTAACTGAGGCTTATCAGCTTACAGAGGAAAACAGCAGGCTGCGCTTCCTCGTCTGCTCTCTGCTCAAAGACATCGCTGCAGCTTATTTCCCAGAATGCACCATCAGACCATTCGGCTCGTCGGTGAACGGCTTCGGGAAGCTCGGCTGTGACCTGGACATGTTCCTCGATCTGGACAGTATCAGTGGCTGGAATCTCAAAAGGGTAATAATGATTTTTTTCTCTTTGCTTATAGCCTGTAAGATTGTATGTGGGTTTTTTTTTTTTTTGGACACTTGGATAAAAGCCTGAAGTAGTTGCAGATAACTAACGATTAACTGTAGATTATTAGTTTATTATATTAAATTTATTCCATCCATTTAAGAAATTAGATTAGGTCTGAGGGAATTCCTATCAGTGTTGTAATTTTACTGTTGGCCAGTAGAGGGCGGGGCTGTTCATTCTTAAGCAGAAACTTGAATCGAACCAAAGTGTCAGTACCTGATCCGTCCCGGAAGCACAATCCGTTCTGCAATTGCACAAATCGGTTCATCTGCGTATGCGCATCCAGATGTACATCCGGATCGTCCTCGATTTTGTTTAGTTAAAAAGACCTAAATTACATTTTTCCCTCCCCAAAAATAGTAAACGTACTAAAATATAAAGTGTTAAAGGTTAATTAATGTATTTCCAGAGAAAATAAATGCCTTAAAATCCTTAAAACTCGTCTCTGCCCGATCTGCACCGGAAATGGGATCCTACGCTACTGTCGGGAGCTAACTTTTTCAGCTTTGGATTTCAACATAAATTTAGTCTTTTTGAGTTTTATGTTTTCGTTTCGTTTTAACCTTATGCCATAAGGATGTAGATAATAATCGTTTTGTATCGATGCATCGATCCAACAGCCGACGATCCGATGCATCGACACGTCCGCAAGAGAATCGATTCATGCTTTTTTTCCCCCTCCGGTCTATTTTTATCCATTTGCTCCTGGGCGTAATTCTCCCTCCCGTGCTGCGGTGGCGCTAAACCTATTTTGCCCTCCTACCTCTCTTCCTGGTTCTACTCTTACAGCATTTTGTTGCAGTAAGCTTGATGCAGACATTTTTAAATTATGCTCAATATTGAAGCGTGGTCTGGGCTACACGCTGTGGGTCTAGATACGGCCGAGGCGGCGAGGAAGTGGGGGCGAGTTTAGTCCGACGACGGAGGGACATCAGGGCCAAAAAGAGCGGAGATCCAGGTGGAAAAAGGGTCCCAGCGTTCTCGCGCAGGTCGCTTTTCTAGCGGGTCAAACTTCACAAGTTGTTTTCCACAATTTTGGTCAAAAAAACAAAACAAGCCGGCCTCCTGTCTGCGGTCAGCTACAATTTGGGAGAGGAGCAGCGGAGCGTCTGTGCAGGGGGCGGGACATCTGGAGCCGAGGTATTGCATTGCACTCATTGCACTGATTTTGTTGATGTATTTTTTGATGCAAGGACTATCAGAATCTATAACACAGGGGTATTATTGTTTTTCAGTGAATTAGGTTTTAATAGGAATAGGTGGAGTGCAACTTTTCTACTTCTGTTATTTGCTGTTGTTTCTCAAAAAAAAAAAAATGCATAACGATATTACAGCTTTCATTGATTTATTTCAAACTTGAAACATTGTCTAGACTGTAAGGTGTAAATAACCTTACATTAACATTGTATCGTGGTGTATTCTTGAGTATCGAAAATAATCGAATCGTTGGGTCAGGAAATGGATACTGAATCGAATCGCCATGATGGGTCTGATTTACACCCCTATTATGCTATGTAGTACGTAATCTAAAGAAAGAAACAACTAAAATGCAGATAAACATGGTTTAAATCATATTTTCCCGGACCGCTATCAGCATGGCTGATGACGTCAGAGAGCAGATGTGTAATAGCATTCTTAAGTGAGTTAAGGATAGAAATAGGTAGTTTTAGTACCTCAATAACATTATTTATGAACACCCGGATCGTGCTTCTTGGAAGGATCGGGTAATGACACATAGTCCGGTGTAGTTACCACATCTGCTCGGAGCCCTGCCCTTTCTTATGACATGATCACACGGCAACGGCACTCAGAAAAACTGTATTGCACCCGTTTCTTAAGAATCAAATCTCTTCCGGAATCTCGATATTTTATTACCCATATTTGCTATTATTTTTATTTTCATCTGCGATCTGAAGTAGCAGAAAGTAGAAAACAAATCTTAAAAATGACTTGTAGAGTTTCAGACCAACAAAAAAAAGTTATTCTACTTGTAGAAAATGAACTGTTGTTGTAGACAGAAAGTTAAAAGTTGTGCAGCTTAATGTGGCTAACTGACCAAGCTAAAAAAAAGGCTAACCTGTTAGCTACTGAACACAGCTAGCCACAGCGCTACCCAGTTCTCCCCCTTTAAATCAAGGTCCTGCAGTTACTTTGTTCACCATAAAAATATTTTTTTCAGTTTCGTTATCAGTTGGGTAAAAAAGTTCATCTGTCATTAGACACGCTAACATTACAGATGCTCCCGACCCGGCACACGGACGCTGCATTGTTATTATGGTTGTCTAGGCAACCACAATGTCTTTCATCATGTGGCAGCGTTCAGCCAATCATATGGCGCGCCGTCACTGGCATGCTCAAGGATGTAGAATGACTTTTGTGAGGTTTGTGAATATAAACACGATAACCTCTCCAGATATCACCTAAATGGTGCCCATTTAGCCGTGCTGCACGGTGGAGCAGCACCAGCTTCTCCTTGGTGTTCGAGGGCGAAGATGTGATGATAGAAAAGTGAAGGGAAACATGTAACATGATAGTTACTAGGGGTGGGTAAAATAATTGAAGAATCGATGCATCGCAATTATTACAGGCAAAATTCATAATGGATGTGGGAGCCCCTCAGAATCGATTCACCTCCTGACCATTGGGGGCGCTGTCAGTTTGGTTACCATTCTCAGCTAGTACAGAGGCCGAATTAGAGCACACAACAGTCATGGTGAGCACCAGCAAAAGACCAACTTTTAAGTCAGACTTTTGGGCTTATTTTTTTGCCCCCGTTGAAATCCGGAACTCGGGAAATCTACGAAAGCAAGGTAGTTTGTAAGCTGTGCCAGACAGAAGTATTGCAGTAACACGACGAACCTACGCAACCACTTTACCATCAGATATCATGCAGAGGTGCTACAAAAAACTAAAGCACAGCCTGTCGACTCTAAACAGACACAAATTGATAAATCATTTATCTCTAAACTGCCGCCAAGTTCTGCTTGCGCAGAGAAAATCACTAAGTCTGTGGCCGTGTTCATTTGCAAGGATCTACAACCGTACAGTGTTGTTTAAAACGAGGGTTTCAAGAACATGTTAAAGACACTGGAACAACGCTACGCAATACCACAGAAGGCACACAGGGATCAACATAGCGAACATGTTGATAAAGGCAATAAACGAATGGGGCATATCCAGAAAAGTAGTTGTTACAGATAATGCTGCCAACATGCTAGTTGCTGTCAATATCACTTAGCTGTTACATTTTGGCTGCATTGCCCACTTGCTCAACTTGGCATCCCAGGCTGCTCTTAAAACTCCTGCAGTCAAACAGCTTCAAAAATCAGCATCGAATCGAATTGAATCGGATCGAATCGCAACAATAATCAAAATCAAATTGAATCAGGAGGTTCCTAACAATACTCAATAGTTACACTTCATTTAAACCGATAAACTCTGAGCCTGTGGCTGTTTCTAATGTTTCTCTAGTGCTTCTTGTTAAAAAATTTGCCTGGTTGACATAAAAGAAAAGCCTTTTACTCAAATGTAACTTAGATAATTACTGTAGAAAGTGATTTTTGGTTCTTATCGTCCAGCCCTAAACCTCCATATGTGGTTTCTGTGTTTTACCTCTGGGCTAATAGCTGCTCCTGAGTATCACACACATTTCTCACAGTAAAACTACTTTAAACCTTTTTCCACTCTGACTGATTTTTAACAGAATGAAAGTCATTAGAGCAGATTATTGACGTTTTTGAAAGCCGGTTTTGTGGTTGACATTTCAGTTGTGTCCTGCTGACCTTTGTCACTAAACTCCTCCGTTTGAGGTTTCTATATTTCCTGTTTTTTTTTCCTATTTTAGATGTAGTGAAAACCTTTCTCTTCTGAACCGTCTGCACGTTTAAAACCAGTCTTTAACCCATAAGATAAATTAGGCCGAAACAATTTATCACAATGTTGCTATTATTGAAGTAATAATTCAGTAATCTATACAGACTCTTACAGATGCCATTAGCTATGAGCAACACCGTCAGAACAGTAATTGGGCTTAAATTGTAAAGAAAAAATATTAATGTCTTGTATTTAACATAACAAACCTTTCTTTCTGTAAAAAATGTCCTATCTGGAGCTTATAAGGTAGCATAGTTTTAGCATTCCCTAACCCTTCTTTAAGAGACATTTTGCCTTAGATTGTTAATGGATTACACTGGAAAAAAATCGAAATCTAGATAAGTCATTTTGTCTTAAAATAAGTGCATTTGTTCTTGAATTGAGGGGGTAAAAGAGACATTTTTCCAATGGAACAACACAATTTACATTTAAAATAAGAAAACACAATTGCGTTGTCTTATTTCAAGTGTATTTTATCATAATTAGGGATGCACGATATTGGGATTTTGGCCGATATGCCGATATTTTAAAACTCACGTAGCCGATAACTGATATCGATACTGATGTTAAAGCTGGACAAAAATAAGTAGTCATTGAAAATAGCAGTTTTATTATCCATAACGATGACATATAGCAATATTTCATTAGTAAAAGAGATTGATATGGTGTTTTTAAATGGCAATATATCAGCATATGCAGATATTGTGATATTTTAATGTATCAATATTTTTTCCGTCGTCTTTAGAAGTTTTTAAGTCTGTAAAAACGAAGTTTTTGAGGAAGAAGAAGAAATAGTATTTTTTATATATTTTTTTTGACTTTAGAAACTCAGAAGCTGATCAAATATCGGGTTAAATATCAGTGGGGTGGCCGATGTCCGATATTCAGTTTTAAGGCCGATACCGATGGGGGGCCCATTATATCGTACATCCCTAATCATAATATCTTATTTTAAGAGCAAAAATACTCATTCCATTGGCAAATCATCTGATTTACCTTCTTAAATTAAGTGTAAATTCACTTAATTTAAGACATTTTTACTTATTTCTAGATCATTTTTCCAGTGTAATAAAATAAAAATAAAAAATCATTATTTGGAGCCCTAAAAAATATACTTCCGGATGTCCAACTTTTGTTATCGTTGTCTGCAACCGTTTCTAGCCTGCTAAAATGGTGGTGAGTGACAAAGCGCTTTAGCTTTGACGTTGCATTATTACTCTAAGGGTCGATCAAAAGCACCAAACAAATATCCTGGATGCAGGAGAAAATCTGAATCATTCCTCTACATTTAGACTCTCTTTACATGTAAAAGTTTAACCCAATGTCAAACATGGCAGGATAGGAAATAAAATATACATAAGGGTTGCATTGATTATCTTTGTTTCCTGTATGTTTGCAGCCAAAATCGGGTCTGTCTCTTGAGTACCAGATGAAACGGACCAGCTCGGAGCGCCACGTCACCCAGAGCATCTTGTCCGTCATCGGGGAGTGCGTGGACCACTTTGGGCCTGGCTGTGTGGGGGTGCAGAAGATTCTCAACGCTCGCTGCCCTCTGGTTCGATTCGCCCACCAGCCCTCTGGCTTTCAGTGTGACCTGACGGCCAACAACAGGTAACAGCAGGGAGACGCCGCCCACCGGCTGCACCAAGCTGTGATGACTAGTTCAGGTTTATGGATTGAGTTATTGTTGCAAATGAAGGAAACATTGTGTAAATTGAAATATAGTGATGCAGAAATTAAATTTTCTAGAAACTTTTAACAAAGAAAAGCTTTTAAGTCAGTTTTTTTCTTTTTTTGTTTAATTGTTTTACTTTTGATTTTAAGATTTTTTTCTATTTATATTTTCAGATTGTATTTTTTTTAAAGTTATTTAAAGATTTTATATTTTCTAATCAGTTTTTGAAAGATTTTTCTGCAGATTTTGTATTTTCGACACTGCATTTCCCAGATCACATTCTCTTCTCTTCTGGGGACAGCCTGTCCTCTGGAGTGAGGAGTGAACATGCATTTCTGTTGGTCTGTATTAGGCTTGTACCGATCCGATCCACGTATCGGATCGGACGCCGATATTGGCAAAAAAATGTGTATCGGCAAAGCATGTAAAATGCCGATCCAGACTGCCGATCCAGGTTTTAAAAAAAAAATCCGGTCCGTATTTTCCAGTTTCACCGATTGAAACGATCCATTCCACTATTTTGCGCCAGTGTTTCCCTGTTTTGCATTTTTATTAAAACTTACAGTAATACTTGCACCTTTAACTGTTTATGGTTTTACTGTTCACTGTGCAATTTCAGATTGCTATTCATAATTTTTTCCAGTTTGTGTTTATCTCTTAATAAACAGGTGAGTTTGTTGTTACCAAGCATTGTGTTTTATTCAATCTCACCTAATTTAGTTGGCTAGATGTTATCAAGAGTACTAAAACCCTTTTAAACATGAGTCTTACAACTAAGGCTAAATACTTTAACTTAAACTTAAATACATGCTCGGATAGGCTGGTATCGGCCAGTATCGGTATCGGATCAGAAGTCCAAAAACAATATCGGTATCGGATCGGAAGTGCAAAAACCTGGATCGGGACATCTCTAGTCTGTATTAACATTAGCGACAGCATCTTTATGGGTTGCATGTCAGGAGTGAATGCATTGTGTAAAACTCAATCTAAAAAACAGAAGAAAAAAAAGTAAAATCTTAAAAAAAAAATTTCTGTAAAAATGTTAAATCAGGGTTTTTGCGGGTCATTAAAAATCATTAAAAGTCATTAAATAATTATATTTTAAACCAAAGGGGATCGCCGTTTTTTTTTAACATTTGGCCCCTTGATTTTACGATATTACATCATGTTCTACTATATTAGTTTTGTGTCATTTGGAGCTGTCCTGAAAATATTCCGATAGGTTATATCCAAGTAACATCTTCCTATGGGCAACGACTTGAAGGCACAAACTAACTGTTCATAATTTATTCTTTATGGTACGCCATTCTTTAGGGTATTCATAACATGGAGGCGGATCACTGTCCCCCAGACATCCGCGGTTATATTTTTTATATTTATATGTTTTAAAAACAAAGTGGCGCATGTATGATGTCATCCTTGCATGCGGACTGGAGTTGTGACTGGAAGCCCGGGCCACAGGGACGTGGCTGCAGCCTGACGACGGTAAAGATGGCGAAGGATTTTCTCGTCTTTTAAATAAGTCATGGGTTGATGGCATTAAAATAATTTCTAAGACCGCTGAAAAGAATTAAATTAGAGTTCTTATACTTTACTCATTCATATATAAACCCTCTGAATCTGAAATATATATTTTTTTAAAGTTGGAAAAAAAAACGTATAAAAATGTTGACAAACTTCCCTCCATAGAATTTCACTTAAGCAGTGGGTCTCACGTTGAAATGTCATCAATGAATTGGTGATAATCGTGTTCCCTATCAGACCACTCTAGCACTGAAGCTGCATTTGCATTGCAAAAGCCGCAAACAGAAACCAGATTTAATCAGGAAGTGCTGCAGCGTTTCCCTCACTCTCTAGCCACAGTGAAACTAAACAGGATGGCCAAACCAGGGGCTCGTATACACGCTCCATTACTTCCCTTCTGGTCTTAAAGATATCATTTCATCAACTGGCGTGTGACACAAACACGTAGACACCTGCTAACGTACTGAAAACCACTCGTCTGCTTCTAAGGAACTGGAGTGGAACCACCCACTGTGGGTGGATGTGAGAGGGACTTTTCTCAGATCATGGTTGGTAGATCTGTGAGGCACAGCAGAGAGGCAGGCGTGTGTCCGAATAAGGTTAAAGCAGCTCGATGTGACGGTAGGTACGTTAGAGGCGAATGCTGACCCCTAGTGGTCATTTTACAGTTTTATTTAAACCCATTTGGTTTGAATGTTGATCCATTATTGTTGCAAAGTAAAAAACATGTTTTTTAAATATCACTTTGAAAGGAAAAAACAATATTAAAAGTAAAATGTAAAAAGCTTCTCAATCAAAAAAAGGTTTTAGATTATTTTAGCCGTTTTGTCAGATTTTTTTTTATATAGGAAAAAATAAAACTCAAAAAAGTTAAATTTTTTTCATTTTTCTCTTTCCAGATCGAGTTTTATATAAATTCAAATTTACACTTCACATTCTCCTCACTTCAAGCCCAATAGAAGCGCTTACATATGTTTTAGCAAAATATTTTTGATGACGTCTATACAGACCAATAGGAATGCGTCTATTCTCCTCATCCCAGAGGGCAGCCCGCCCCACAAGTCAAGAGAATGGGATCCTTAAAACACAAATTAAACAAAATGCAATTCATAGAACTCAATCAGAAAGAAGGATGTACCGTATTTTCACGACTATAAGGCGCACTTAAACGTCTTTTTTTTCCCTCAAAATGTGCAGTGCGCCCTTTGGTGCTGTGCGCCCTATGTGTGTTGTAACTGCGACTTTTGAGACCACCTCATTGAGGAGATGATGAAAGAGTGGCTGAATGTAAGGAGACCAGGTGTTTTTTTTTCCACCCCTCACCATCGCTGTTAATATGTAACTCCATGCGTGCCCATCTCACAGCTGATGTGAAAAACATGGGGAAACAAATTAACGCTGTGCTCGCTGTTCAACCGCTCGACATCGGTGTGAACCGGACCCAGCAGGTGCAGCAGAAGCAGCGAGTTTACATGCAAAGTCAATGGTTGACGCGCGTATAGGCGCAGCAAAAGGTCCCGCAGCGCGTTTTGAGCTGCAGGTGCAGCACGTCGGGAGCGCGCCGCCAACGCGCTGCTGCTGCTCGAGATGGAAAAATTGAAGTTTTGCTGCTGGACGCGCCGCCTCAACCAATCAGAGAAGCTGATCTGGGAGCTGACAGCGAGACAGACACAGCGCTCTGATGACATGATATTAACGCAAATGAAAAAGGCTGGATGGATGAGGAGTTGATGAAAGGCAGGTGTATGTGAGGAGACCAGGTGCTTTTTTCCACGCATCACCATCGCTGCGTGCCCATCTCACAGCCGATGTGAAAAAAAGGTGAATCAAATGAACGCTGTGCTCGCCATTATCCCGGGGGTCTGACAAAGGAACTTCAACCGCTCGACATCAGTGTGAAGCGGCCGTTCAAAGTAAGGCTGCGAGCGGCGTGGGAGCGATGGGTGACAGACGGAGACCACAGTTTCAGGATAAGTGGAAGGCAGCGCCGGGCAAGTTACGCCACCGTTTGCGGATGGATTGTAGATGCTTGGACTAACGTGTCTGCTGGCTCTATTGTTCAAGCTTTCGCAAAAGCCGCGCTGCACAGAAAGTGACTCTGACAGCGAAGAAGGAGAAATTGGCATGTCTGATTTAGCGCAGCTGTTTAATTCAGAAACAGAGGATGATGACTTTGATGGGTTTGATTAATACTTTGTAATAAATACATGAATAAAGCACAAACATACTCAGTTTTGCTCCCGCTCTATTTTTCTACCTGAAAACTTAATTCAACAGCAGCCTCTGGGCCGGGTCTCCTCCTCTTCACCGCGGCGGCTGGCAGGTGTTTTTTCATCTAAATAATCTAAATCTTGCAGCTATATTTGCTATGATCAGTGGGAATAAAGTAGTTTTAATATGTTTTTAAGTGAGAAAGGCCACCTGAAAACTTAATTGCAGTCAGTTAATCCAGATTATCTATTTCTGTCGGAGGCGCTCAGACCCCCACATACCAGCGGTGCACCGACAGCAGAAATCCCTTCAACAGCAGCCTCACCGCGGCGGCTGGCAGATGTTTTTCATCTAAATAATTTAAACTGCAGGCACCAGGATACCGGCAATAAAAGCGAACATATTCCGTCGGCAGGTCTCAGGATTTTAAGTTAATTTAGGAGTAATCACAGCGCTGTGTCATCTGCGATGTGTCTGTCTCATGGCCAGCTCGCAGGTTTGATTAATACTTTTTATTAAATACATGAATAAAGCACAGTCATACTCAGTTGTGGGCCCGCTGTATTTTTAAATACGCAGTAGAGGTATTTAAAGGTAGTAAAGGACATGTACCTGTATATAAAAAATGCGCCCTATAGTCCGGTGCGCCTTATGTGTGTGTTAAATACAGAAATGGGACACATAACTGAGACTCTGCCTTTTAGTACGGTGCGCCTTATGGTCGTGAAAATACGGTAATAAAAAAAAAATACAATTTTGAAAAATAGAACTTAAAAAATACAATGTGATGTGTAAGAGGGGAAAAAAAAAAAAAAAGATTAAACCAGTTATCGTTCTACGATGGGAGTATTAGAGCCAGGCTAGAGATTTTTTTTTCTTCTATTTTGAGAATGAAGTCATAAAATTAGGAGAATAAAGTCATCATTCAACAAACCGTTTCAGAAAGAAAGCTTTGAGCTCCACACAGCAGCACCAAACAGCAACCTGACATCATGCCCGATTTGATGCCAACGCTAAAAGATTTCCTTATTTGTGCTTTTTCAGGGTTCCTGCGGGTCCTTAAAAAGCCTTAAAAGGCATTGAATTCTTCAAAATAAAACTAAGGCCTTAATATGTATTAAAATGTCTTAAATCAGTCTTTCGTAGGTCTTAATTTTTAAAACATCATAAATAGGATTATTTTTGTTACGATTTATTTTTGTAATCTAAATAAAACGTTAAAATTGCCAGTTTTTTTTTTTCTTTTTATAAAAAAAAAAAAACTGCTCGCCATCATTGGTTCCGTCCCGATAGCGGAACCAATAAAAGCGTTGTTGCGGCCGGGACATTTGGGAGACGCACCATTAACTTTTTGTCTGGAAAACATGAGCAAGTGTAAATGTAACCAAAATTGTCTCCAGCCAAGAGTTTTCTCCATGGCTAAAACCAGGGAACATACATGAGGCTCACTGGATTTAGTGCAAGAAGTCATTCAAGCTCAGAACGATGGGAATTAAGGCAGTGGAGTCGCACATGCGAAACACAAAGCGTCAAAATGGAGTTACAGAGAAACAGCCGGTATTTCTCAGTTTAGTTCCACCCTTGTCTCTGCAACGCCTCCACTTATCACCTATTCAAACATACTAAGAAAACCATACAAAGAAAAATAGCTGCAAAAAAGACTTAGCACTGGTTATGTTGGGGCTTTAAAACTGATTTGTTTTGTTCCCTGCTAAAACAAAGTTTGTGAATTCAGTTAAATAATTGTTAAAATATATCTGTCATTTGTGTGTTTTTAGCTTTCTTCCTGTATGGGAAGCTTTTCCAAATTGGAAACATTGGTTTAACCTTTGGGTTAAGTTGTCGCAAGCAGGTTTTTCTTGTGTTTCTTGTGAATTTGGTCTTAAATTTTTATTTCAAGTGGCATTAAAAAGTCTTAAAAAGTCTTGAATTTAACTTGCCTTATGCTGTAGGAACCCTGATTTTTATGCATCGATTTCCTTATTTGTCAAACCAATGCTTTACACCTGTCTGTCCCTTTTGCCCGCCTCACCATCATGGGGAGCAGAGCATTCAGCCCCCCGCCTCTGGAACGCTCTACCACCCCTACTTAGAAACATGGACTCAGTTCTCCATTTTAAAATGCAACTCAAAACTCATCTATTTAAGATTGCGTATTCTCTTTAAATATCTATTTCACTTTAAATGTTTTTTGATTTTGTTTCTGACATTAAGTTTTTTATGCTTTTTGTACGGTGACCTTGAGTGTCCAGAAAGGTGCCTTTTAAATAAAATGTATTATTATTATTATGCAAAAGTATAACTTTACATAATGCTCAACATTCTTCATTTTAGGGAAAAAAGTGCTTCTTTTAGGAGTAGTCATTAAAAAAACAACTTGTTTCTTGTAATTTTAGGACGTTATTCTCTTAATATTACAAATTTATTCTCGTAATTTTATGACTATTCTCGTTGTGACTTTATTCTCAAAATAGAAGATAAAAATATCTCTAGCCTGGCCCTAATACTCCGTCGTATCGTTCAGAATGCAGCTTGGATTAAAAAAAGAAAAAGTTTCTTTGAATCCAGCACCTTAACCCTCAATGATTGCATTCCTCTGTGTTTCCACAGGGTGGCAATGAAGAGCACCGAGCTGCTCTACCTGTACGGTGAGCTGGACCCGCGGGTCCGCAGCCTGGTATTCACCATCCGCTGCTGGGCGCGGGCTCACAGCATCACCAGCAGCATCCCCGGAGCCTGGATCTCCAACTTCTCCCTGACCGTCATGGTGCTGTTCTTCCTCCAGAGGAGGACCCCTCCCATCATCCCTACACTAAACCAACTGCGGGATCTAGCAGGTACCACTGAACGCTCCTAGATCCTCATCTAAAGCCCCGCGTTGTGATTAAAATGAGCCTTTATTTAGATGATTTTCTTTGCCACTTCCTTATTTTTTTTTAAATATCCTGAAATCTGATGTTTTATTCTTTTTTTATTGTTTCCTCTTCTAATCCTGTCGCTTTTATTCCCCGGTTGGCATAAGCAAGGGTTTGTACTTATTCTGTGAGATTTCACCACTCAGGTTTAATTTTACCTCTTGATGACAACAGGATGAGATGAAAGGGACAAAATAAATGTTTGGGGCTTCAGGGGGAGAAGAAGAGGAACTACACTTTCAGTGCAGTCTAAATACGTTTGTAATTTGGTTAGCTAGCAGGGTGGGGGGGGGGGTAATTTCTAAAGGAAGAGAGTAATCTACATAGTTCTTTTTTTAAACTAGGTAAAGTAATGACACCAATAATCAAATTAGGTGCTGCTTTTTGGGCGCAGGTGGGGAAATCTTTAGTTTTTTCAGCAAATAATTTGTTAATCTGTGAGCCACAATTAAAAGAAAAGATTCTTTACTTAAAAATCTGACCAGAGGTGTCAAAAGTTCTACTGGAAAGGTGCAAATATGTGCATGTTATGCAAGTTTACCACTACATTAAATCAAATAACTAGAACTGGAAGTTATAGTTAATTTTTATGTCATTCAAATCAAGAGTAAAACTAATGAATTATTATCAGTAGAATGATTATAAGTTTTGCCTCTTTACCTAAAAGGTTGGACTCCTGGACTGGCTGTTAAAAATCTTTCACCAATTTAATAATTTAGACTATCAGCAAAGTTATTAATCACCATCCAGATAAATATGTCTCTGTTTATTCGGATGTTTCTGAAAGAAGAGTGAATCCAGCCTGAGAGATAAACCTTTCACTGCATAGAATAAACAAAAGACCTCGGATTAATATACAATGGTGCCTTTATTAGCCTCAATCACACAGTATTATTATATTATTATACCTATACTAAAAATACTGAAAATAAGGACAATTAAATAAAAGGGGAAAAGTGGTTTTAAGTGGAAATTAGGGGTGTAAATAATAATCGTTTTGTATCGATGCATCGATCCAACAGCCGACGATCCGATGCATCGATACGTCCGCAAGAGAATCGATTCATGTTTTTTTTTTGTTTTCCCTCCGGTCTATTTTTATCCATTTGCTCCTGGGCGTAATTCTCCCTCCCGTCCTGCGGTGGCGCTAAACCTATTTTGCCCTCCTACCTCGCTTCCTGGTTATAGTCTTACAGCAGTGTGTTGCAGTGAGCTTCACACAGACATTTTTAAATTATGCTCAATATTGAAGCGTGGTCTGTGCTACACGCTGTGGGTCTAGATACGGCCGAGGCGGCGAGGAAGTGGGGGCGAGTTTAGTCCGACGACGGAGGGACATGAGGGACAAAAAGAGTGGAGATCCAGGTGGAAAAAGGGTCCCAGCGTTCTCGCGCAGCTCGCTCTTCTAGCGGGTCAAACTTTACGAGTTGTTTTCCACAATTTCGGTCATAAAAACAAAACAAGCCGGCCTCCTGTCTGCGGCACTGTCTGCGGTCAGCTACAATTTGGGAGAGGTGCAGCGGAGCGTCTGTGGAGGGGGCGGGACGTCTGGAGCCGAGGTATTGCATTGCACTCATTGCACTGATTTTCTGCAGTATTTTTTGATGCAACTTTTCTACTTCTGTTATTTGCTGTTGTTTCAAAAAAAAAAAATGCATAACGATATAACAGCTTTCATTGATTTATTTCAAACTTGAAACTTTGTTTAGCCTGTAAGGTGTAAAAAAAAAATAATTAAAAAAAAATAATTAATCGAATCGTATCGTGGTGTATTCGTGAGTATCGAAAATAATTGAATCGCTTGGTCAGGAAATCGATACTGAATTGAATCGCCATGATGGATGTGATTTACACCCCTAACTGAAATTGCAAAAAACAACTCGTGAAGTTTGACCCCCCTGGATCCCAACTATTTTTCGCCGTCATGTCCCGCCATTGTCGGACTAAACTCGCCCCCACTTCCTCGCCGCCTCGGCCGTATCTAGACCCACAGTGTGTAGCGCAGACCACGCTTCAATATTGAGCATAATTTAAAAATGTCTGCGTCAAGCTCACTGCAACACACCGCTGTAAGAGTATAACCAGGAAGCGAGGTAGGAGGGCAAAATAGGTTTAGCGCCACCGCAGCACGGGAGGGAGAATTACGCCCAGGAGCAAATGGATAAAAATAGACCGGAGGTAAAAAAACAAAAACATGAATCGATTCTCTTACGGACGTGTCGATGCATCGGATCGTCGGCTGTTGGATCGATGCATCGATACAAATCGATTATTATTTACACCCCTACTAGTATCACTATTAATAAGGTTGTTTTTCACACATCTATCAATTTAGCAGCTACATCTTCCATGAACAGCAACTTTCATGTTTATCTCTCTTGGATCAAAGAGAGACTTTTCATCAGGGGTTTTAGACTCGTACTCTTTGTGAGAAACTTATAAAAAATCCTAAATATATTCATGGTTATTGAGTAACGCCTCTAACCCCTCACTGTTCTGCCAATTAGCTTCCAGTTCCTCTATTATGCAGAATGTTGTCCTTGTGTCTGTCCTCAGTGGTAAAAGACGGTCCAATTATCTGACGCACACAGCTCATTGAAATGTCCCACCCTCTTATAGGCTGTTCCTTCCGGTGGAATCTGTAATCCACGTACACATGTGTCTGATGCAGAGATCACTGTGTCCACTAATTTCCCTGTGCCACTGGATAATGTATGCAGACAGCTGCAAATTGAATTCAAATGGAATTGTGTAACAGCAGCGAAGGCTTAGTAAATCTGCCCTCCTAATCACAGTCCTTGAACTATTCTTGGCTGCTTTCATAATGCACTCTATGTGAGTCCTGGAGCCGCCATAGTGGCTGCAGCGCTGGTGAGAGCATGTTGGCGCTGAAAAACGTTCAGATTAACCCCCTGCATGCTTGTGGGACTAATCCGCGTAATGAATGTGGAACGTAGTGATTTTCCAATAGACTCAGCAGCACATCGCAGTGCCTTTGAGTCCACATCAACATGGCCACCTCTGCTGTCCTCTGTCACCTTGACTGTCTGATAATGCCTTTCTAAAAGCAATCTAGACCCCCCCACCCCACCCCTGCCGACTCTCCTCCTCCTCCTCTTCCTCCACGGCCTGCTTAGGTCAGACTCCATCACACAGAGGAGTGCTTACAGGACAATAAAAGATCCATCGCTCCAGAAAGGTCAGCGACCCGCCTCCTCTAGACCTGAGCTATTTAAACAGTGCTTAAACACAGCAGCCTCTGTGGACTCAGTTAAACAGGTCATAAATGTATGGAGTGACTTTTGTTTCATTATTGTTTGCAAGCAATTTTTGCAAAGAAATGAAATCCTGAAACAAACAAATGATTAAATTCTTAATTAGAAAAGGTTTTAAGAGTAATTTAGTATTTTTCCAATAATCTATTTTTTTACATATTTTATTTTTTCCACATGTATTGAATTGTTTTACACATTTTTTTTATTCTCTTTTTCAGAATTATAGATTTTTTTTTCAAATTGGTTTTATATAGGGATGCACGATATTGGGATTTTGGCCGATATCCGATATGCTGATATTTTAAAACTCATGTAGCCGATAACCGATATCGATACCGATGTTAAAGTTGGACAAAAATAAGTAGTCATTGAAAATAGCAGTTTTGTTATCCATTTCTGACACTTTGAAAAATAATATACTCAAATATATTTTCATATGCTGATATCAAATTGATTTTTAAAAACGCTTTCAACGCTTTAAAAATCTCGTGAAATTTCATCATTCTGTTACAAACTCTCGTGATATTTTGCAAATTCATGTTAAATTTTTGTTAGTAAAATAGATCGATACCGCGTCAATATATCAACATATAAAAATATGGCAAAATTTTGTGGATTTTCGGGGGATTTCGTAGCATAACGATGACATATAGCAATATTTCATTAGTAACAGAGATTGATATGGTGTTTTTAAATGGCAATATATCAGCATATGAAGATATTGGGATATTTTAATGTATCAATATTTTTTCCCTCGTCTTTAGAAGTTTTTAAGTCTGTAAAAAAGAAGTTTTTGAGGAAGAAGAAGAAGTAGTATTTTTATTTTTTTTTTAGACTTTAGAAACTCAGAAGCTGATCAAATATCGGGTTAAATATCGGTGGGGTGGCCGATGTCCGATATTTAGTTTTAAGGCCGATACCGATAGGGGGCCGATTATATCGTGCATCCCTAGCTATATAGATCAGTCCCTGAACTCTTTAGCCTCATGAGACCATCCTGATCTCGCGAGCTTTCAAGGTTTCACTCGCAGATCAGTCTGGACTCTCCGTTGAAGAAAATTTGGAGCCGTTCACCAAACGAACGTCTAATCAGCATTGGCTTTGAGGCGGGTTGAGGTGTGACGCAACGAGAAGCGCGACAGTTCAGTCTAAAGAACATGGCGGCTTCAGCCGATGAAACTAGCGTTAGCGTGGCTATCGAGCAAGTTTTATCGGAATTACAGAGTATTTCTTCACTGAAATATAATATCCTTTGCCGACATGTTGCTTATTTGCTGAGCTAACGAGCCTTTACCTGCAGCAGAAAGAGTAGCCTGGCTTGTGGTTGTGTTTTTGTCGTCGCTCTGTTAGTACGCCATATGCTTCGTTGATCTGATTGGTTTATTTGGCCCGTCTATCACCAACATAGGCCAATCAGCTAACCAGTATTTTCGCCCCTTCCCAAAATTTCTTAAACGGAAGGTTTCCAGATGGATATGCGAAGCAAATCCATCTGGTGGAGTCAGGTTATGAACTTTAAGGGTTTCATCTGTTGGGAGGAGCAAAAGACGCTTTTCTATTGATGCATTTATAACATTTTTATTGGCTGACGGGGACTCTGTATTGGGGTTGAAGTAAAGAGAATGTAACCATGTTTCCATTCAACTAAAATATAAATTTTAAGCATAAGTTTAAAAGAATTTGCAGTGTTTCTATTTGGTTTAAAGTGAATTAACCAATTACCATAAAGCATAATGTCATCATACGCCTGTCCCCTTTAAGTCATCACACATGGCTGTTATAAACAGGAAGTAGAGGCTGCAATCTAACACTGACCACAGATGAGTAAAGGAGGAAAGTTTGAATGAGTGTGTTGCTGTTGGGAAAGTTAAAAAACTTTTTTTGGGGGCCAGTTTTGCAGTTTCCAGCTTTTAGATGCAATACTTTAGAAAAATCTGATATAAACGCTCTTTGTGATCCATGAAATGAGATTAGAAAATAATGCAAGCAGTGAAATTCAACCTGACAAATGGAAATTATAAAAAAGATAGAAAACTGTAAACAGAAAATGAAAAAAAAAACGTCAAAAAATGTAAGACCAAGCTGGTTTAAACACTTTTTTTAAGACTTCATTTTTTAACATTTTCACCAGACAGTGTTTTGCTAGTTTCCAAAGTAGGAGTGACATCACAGCACAAATGTCCTGATTGTGAAACTCCACTCACAGGCTAAAGGAAGAAAAAAAAAAAGGTTTAATGATAATTGTATTTATTTATTATGCATAAAAATGTTAGAAAATAAAGGTCAGTGTTTTTAGAGGTTATGCATTTTATGTTCTGTCTTAAAGATTTATTAATTTAAAGGGATTCTTTAAAAAAAAAGAGGATTTTCTAAGTTGAATTTCTGGAGTGCACTTTTTTTCAACTTTTCTTTCACAAATTGTCGTCTTCCAGCAAATATGGAACAAAATTCACCCCTGGCATGTATGGAGGACCAGGTCTACCATATTTAAAAATAAATACAGAAAAAAAAAATGCTCGATAAATAAATAAGCATACAATTAATTGCCCCCCAAAATACAATAAACAAATAAATGTAGGTAGAAATTCAATTCAGTTTATTTCTATAGCGCCAATTCACAACAGACATCACCTCAAGGCACTTTCCAGTTCACCAGATCATCCAGTCAAATTGATTTAAAGTTTTCTATCTAAGGAAAACCAGCTGATTGCATTGACTCATTGACTCTCAGCAATCCCTCACACTAAGCATGCTTGTAGCGACAGTGGAGAGGAAAAACTACCTTTTAACAGGAAGAAACCTCCAGCAGAACCAGGCTCAGTGTGAGCGGCCATCTGCTGAGGCCGACTGGGGTTCAAGGAGACAGAAGCAGACATGGAAATAGAAGCTCTCAGCCAGCTGCCATGTCAGAGGATGAAGAGAGCACATCCAGTTAGTCACAGTCAGAGAAAGAGGACCACACTGGAAAAACAGGCCGATCTCCAACATCTATTAACAAAACAATTAAAATTAAATTAAAATTTACAGTTTGGCATAAATGTATGTATCTCTTTTAATTAGCTGGTCCTCCATAGGCACGCTCCCCATCCTGTAAACCAGGACCGGGAGCAGACTTACAGTTCTGCTGTTTTCTTTTTTTTTTCTGCTGACCAATGTGCGCTTTCTCTTACTTCCTCCACTTGTTTCCTGCTCAATAATTCTTCTGTACATCCATCTGTGACTTGTTTACAGCCATCACCGTCTTGTAAAGGCAAGTCTTTTTACCTTGTATCCCCGCTCTCATCCCCTCAAGGTCCCGAAGACGAGAGCGTGATTGAGGGCAACGACTGCACGTTTGTCACAGACTTCAGCAAGATTGAGCTCCAGAGGAACACAGATACGCTGGGTGAGCACAGAGAAGCGTTGAATCAGTGCTGCAGGGTCCCGCATATCAGTTTGACAGACGGCCGTGTGGATTTTATTGACGAAGCACGTTTTCGTGGCATGTGAGCCCAAGCCGTCTTCTTACTAAAGCAAAGTAAGAGGATGGGAGGATAAACGGGAAGAGAGACACATCTTCCACGTTTAACAGTGAACATCACCATGGTGTCGAGATTTTAAAAAGTGAAATTCACTTAAACTTTCACACCGTTTCTACTGTTTAATGATTTGTGGGGGAAATGTGCTACCCGCCCCCCACTTGTTGCTGTGCTCTTCAGCTAGCTGGAGGAACACAGCTTACATTTCTGATCCTTACTTCAAAGGCAAAGTTCTTTAATTCCAAATATGTTTGATCATAACAAAAATCTCTTCCCCCTAACTCTGTTATTAATCCTGCAGTTGTTGAGCTGTAAATATTATGTATTATGCAGTTTTCTGGCATATTTCTGATATTTAACATGATCTGCTAATTGCAATTAACTTTATGTTTATAATTGACTGTAGTATTTGGGGGTCAGGGGTTAAATCACGATCTTTATCACTATAAGATGTTTTATTGATTGGTTGAAATGACAATATAAATGTTGTCAATATTGCAAAGTCTATCTTAAAATTATTTAGATTCTTTTCAGTTTAAAAGCCATCAATAAATTTATTGACATTGATATCGTCTTAAAAAGAAATCAAACATAATTTGACCATTTTTATTTTAACTCTGACAAACATCAGACATTTCAATAAAAAAATAAAACTTTCTTCAAATTATAGAATATAATAGATCTCCTATTGACTGTAGTCTTATCACCTGGGATTTTCAAAATAAAGGTGTATTTTAAAGATGATTATATGGAGAAATGTTTTTAATTTGACATAAGGCTGAAACATTTCATCAGATTAATCGATTGTTGAATTAATTTTTAACTGCTTTAGTAATTAATTAATCATTAACTAGAGTTTAGAGAATAAAAACATGCCTTAAGCTGACAGAGTGACCCATTCAGAGCAGTAACTATCCCAAAATTGTAAAAAGATACATGAACATTTTGCATTTAGGATAAAAAAATAAATCTTATTCATCAGTCAATGTGCACAATCCAGCCTCCTCAAGTGGAAAAGTTTTAGTGTCACCTAGTTTGATTTCGTAAAAATTCTTGTTTAAGGAACCTTTTAAAAAAATAATCTACATATTAACCGATTTGCAAAATAATAATTTGTTGCAACCCTAATTTGACATCAATGTAAATGGAATGTAAACCATTTAATCAATGTTAAGTTTAACTAACTATTTTGGGAATTGAATCGTTACCTAGTTATGGTATATAGTCTCTAAAACGCCATTTGGTGAAAGGATAACCTACTTACAGCATTATGATAAAACAAAGAATATTTATTATTATTCATATATTTTGTATCGAAGAGGATTAGGGCCACTGGAAAAAAAAAAAAAGTTAACTGATTTTTAAATTTTATTTCAGTTTAACATGGGAAAAAAGTCAGAATTCTGACTTTTTTATCCGAATTCTGACTTTTTTATCAGAATTCTGACGTTTTTCTCAGAATTCTGACTTGTTTTATTGTCAGAATGTTGTTTTAAAGTCAGAATTCAGAGATTAAAGTCAGAATTCTGAGATTAAAGTCAGAATTCTGAGATTAAAGTCAGAATTCAGAGAAAACAGTCAGAATTCAGAGATTAAAGTCAGAATTCTGAGATTAAAGTCAGAATTCTGAGATTAAAGTCAGAATTCAGAGAAAACAGTCAGAATTCTGAGATTAAAGTCAGAATTATTAGATTAAAGTCAGAATTCTGAGATTAAAGTCAGAATTCTGAGATTAAAGTCAGAATTATGAGATTAAAGTCAGAATTCAGAGATTAAAGTCAGAATTCAGAGATTAAAGTCAGAATTCTGAGATTAAAGTCAGAATTCTGAGATTAAAGTCAGAATTCAGAGAAAACAGTCAGGATTCTGAGATTAAAGTCAGAATTCTGAGATTAAAGTCAGAATTCTGACTTTTTTCCCAAACTATACTGAAATAAAATAAAAAAAATCAGTAAATTTTTTCTTTTTTCTTTTCAGTGACCCTAATCCTCTTCCGTAGTTTTGCCATTTTAATAAATTATTGAAATTTTTAAGTTTGTTTATTTAGAAATGTAACTTACTGAAAGTCTATCTTTAAGATTTACTGGAAAAATCATCTATAGATGAATAAATTCCTAAAATAATCCATAGGTTCAGAACGAATCAGGTCAGAGTATAGCCTCAGTGTTTTATTGAATATTTTAGTACTAATTCACAGACCTGGATTGGTTCGGTTTCATATGGGCTGATCACCCAGTTCTAAGAGACTGATCAGTTTGTGCACCTTTAACCACATTAGGACTAAAAGCAATGGAAAAGCACGATCCACAATCCACTGGAATTTTTTTCCAAGTTTGAAGACGTTTCGCTTCCAATCCAGGAAGCTTTTTCAGTTCAAAATCTCAGAAATAGCGTTGAGTTCGAGGTTTTATACAGTAGCCCATCAAAGCCTTGTTTTTGTTTAGAAAACATGCAAATAAAAACAGAATAGGGGTCGTTTGGCTTCTTTTGTTAGCCTGCAATGTCTCATATATGTCTATAGATATTGGACATGTAACTCAATTTGCATGTTTTTAAAATAAAAACAAGGTTTTAATGAGCTACTGTTTAAAACCTGGAACACTATTCCAGACGTTTTGAATTGAAAAAGCTTCCTGGATGGGAAGCGAAACGTCTTCAAACTTGGAAACAAAGTCCAGTGGATTGATTTTTAATTTTCTTTTTTTTTGGAAAGACTATGACCTGGATGACTGAGAATCTTCACCAGCATTCAGTACATTCATTGCTTTAAAACTATCAAGAAAAATTCTCTCTAGTTTAAGATTTTGGATCCTAAAGAGATCTTAGCATATAAAAAAAATAATAACAAAGACAATATATCCACTATTTAAAAACAGCTTAACATTAAACATGATCCAAAATACCAGACAGCATTTTTTAACTATAGAGAAGAGGTTTATACAGGAATTGGCAATGCAGGATCACATCCACGCGTACAGGTTGATAATGCTGTGGTTAAAACTTCTTTTTTCTGCTTGTTGGCTTTTATGGAGTGACTAGATTGATCTTAGTTCTAACTCTGCACCTTCTCATCTGTTTCAGACCAACTGCTGAGTGACTTTTTTGAGTTCTACGCCACATTTCCATTCAGCAGGATGTCCATAAACATCAGAAAGGTATGATCTGCTATATTCTCTGTCATGGTAACAACAAGACAGGCTTTAAAATGAAACCAATGGAGTTTCACTGAGTTTTTCAGAAAATGTTTGAACACCTATTCAGGAGTCTTTCTCAATATGGAATCAGAAAAACTGAGTCACAGTTTGGTTGCGTCCAATTCAAGCCTGATGAGAAAGGTGTTTCACCATACTACCATAGGAATAATAAAGATATTAGTACCTAAAGGATTCATTCATTCATATAGTCCCTGCTCAAAAAGAGAAAAAAAAATCTTTAAGAGATCAAGATTGAGGGAATATCAGCCATGGTATATATATTTTTACCACAGAAAAATCCTATCAGAAATGAAAAAAAAATCTTCAGTTTTTGACAGATTTTCCTCTTGGCCACTAGGGGTCAGTATGCATCACCCACAAACTGTCTTTTAAACACTTAACTTTGCTTTTTTAAACCCAAACAGATCTCTAGGAAATGTTTATGGCAAAGAATCAACAACTAGGATTGAATCTTTCATGGCGCAACATTTTTGTTTGAGCACCACATCTGACCTGGAGTAACCATGACGACGACACTAGGTCAAGCCTTGTCCTGCCTCACTGTAAACAGAGGAAAAGATGGTGTAACTTTCCTTCAGCTTCTTTTTGTCTGTTTTATATTCATCTCTCCCCTTGGAAGGTCATCTAGAGGAAGAATTAAGTCATTTATCATGGGAACAATGGGTGATGAACCTCCTGCCTTGTTACTGGTTATTACACAATCATTCTCAGTGCAAATAATGTCCAGGAGGGTTTTTCATGCGGTGGTCGAGCCATTCAGAGACCCGATTAGAGCTTAATAAATCGATCCCCGTGAGAACAGAGGGGCCAGCCGGATTAATATCGGGGATTATTCTGAGGTTTGACACAGCTGAGGAAGCCTGCAGGTAGACGGCGGCCGTGACCGAGGCGCACGGCTTTCACCGCTGCTGCTTTGGCCATAAATCACTTTTACTGGGCTGCAAGTCTTCAGCTCATTCCACCTCTTCAGCAGGTTACAGCAGCCATGGAGGTTGTTGGCCTCTCCCTGACCCACGCTGGGATGGGTCATTCAAAGCCTGCCGGAGCGTAATGAAACGCACAGTATATGCTCATGCTAACATGCTCAATAAGTTCAAATCCGTCTCGTTAACATTGCTGATTGTTTTTGACCAATCAAATGAAAATGTTCAGGTCTGCTTTTTACACCTTTTATCGTCTTGTTTCTTCAGGGCAAAGAGCAGAACAAACCAGAGGTGGCGCCGCTGCACATCCAGAATCCTTTTGAGACGTCCCTTAACGTCAGCAAGAACGTCAACACCTCCCAGCTGGACCGCTTCGTGGCTTTGTGTCAGGAGAGCGCGTGGCTGCTCCAACAGAGTGAAACCAGAACGCCGAGGGGCGTAGGTGTGGGGGACACCCCCGCTGCGTGGGGCCTCGCCACCCTGCTCCTGCCCTCTCAGGTGGCAGGAATCAAAGGTCGTAAGAAGCGAAAACGGGAGCCGGCCAGTGAGAGGATTAAGAGCTTACTGGAATCTCTGAAAAACAAAAACGAAGGAAAGAAAAGCTCGGACTCATGAAGTTCACAGCAGAGTTTGAAACTTTTCACCCATCTGCAGAGGCAGCAGCTGAAGAACTCTGGCTGCAGTCCCTGACATGGACACCAGGGGGCGATCCTGCCCCTATATGACTAGAGGCTGAGTGGAACTGTAGGGATATTAGCTGTTTACATTACTGTAGACTTCCTACTTTGTTTTAATAAACAATACGGCTGACGACTGGACCTTTCTGAATGGAAACTGATCACTTCTAATAATGTCATCAGTTTGCTATTTTTTTCAGATTATATTTTAAAACACTATTACAAGATGAATTGAGTGATGTTTTACTGCAAACTAAAACCTCAAACCCCATAAATAAAGATCACAACCTAATAAACAAAAGTCCCATTTTAGCAGAAACAAGCTTTCACACTGGTACCAGAGTCAATAAATATGTTATAATGTAGTTTTTGAATATTTCTTTACCCACAAAAGACATTTCCTTTTATTTATTTTTAGCAAAGAAAGATTATATAGAAAGATTATATGGATATTAATTTCTGCTAAATGAGACACATTTATTTTTTTTAGTTCAAATTATCTAAAAATCTGTTATGTTTTTAAATATGTAATGTTTTTTTTTATTTTTTTATTTGAATGTTTCAGAAATTTAAATGTGAATATTATCGATTTATTTCCTAAGTAATGACAAAATGTTCAAGGAAAAATTAAAACAGGACATCCAGACAAAAACCAAACAAACTTTCTGATTCGATTTAAACCTCTGGTGAAATTACTTTTTTTTTTTTTTTTTCTAGGAGCATTTCAGAAAAAAAATCATAGAAATTCAGACTTAGACGCCCAATTCTGACTCGACTTGTGAGGTCACAATTACTAGCTTTCACCAAAAGACGCCTCGCTTGCTTCATGTCTCTAAAGCAAAACTGGTTTAACTTTATCGATCTCGTTCAAATAAGAAGACTGCAGTTGATTATAGAGGTTATGGGGGGGGGGGGGGGAGTGCCGCAATGTGAACGTGTGCTGTATTTAATTATAAAACTCTATGAAGAGATTAGAAATGTAACTGAAAAATAAAAGGGAAATACTTTTACCATTCATTAAAAAAAAGAAAAAACCTGGATTGCAGGCCATTGCTGGAAGTTTGAATGGGTAATAATTTATCACCTGTTTCTTCACTCGCTTTGTTTCCAGAGATGTATTTAAAAAAAATTTTAGTTTTAACCGGTGTTTCTTCACAGCAGTTTAAATAAGTGTTAGTCTTTTGATAAAAATGTTCATTGTTTTTTGTGAAAATTTAAATACTTCTGTCCCAGTTTAGTTCCAGTCTAGAGAAAATAGCCAGATTGTAGTGTAGTTTTCAAATCCAATCAGAAAAATTTTAGTTATTTTCATGATTCATTCAGATAATAAATCTAACCTGGACTAAATGACAAAATATTGCAATCCAAGATATTAACACTTTTTGTCACATTTAACCTAACTGGTGAAAAAGAAGCACAAAAAGCTCCTCAAAAATGGCCGCCCAGAGCAATCACACTGTTCAACAAAGCAATGACAAGAACTTGAAATCTAGACCAAATTATGTTCAAATATATTTATATATATATAAATATAGAGAGACCCCTGTCCGACTTCACTCTCCTGCAAAATGCACAGTGTGTGGGGGATATTTAGGGCCTGATACAGGATGCTGCATAGCCCCCTAACCCAAAGAAAGCAAAAGGTCTAAGTAGATATTCAGATATGTATTATAAATTAATCATTTCCCTTATTGTAAAGGAATGTTTATTTGCTTAAGTTAATAGACAATTTTCAGCAGCATTTGGGTGGATGGGCAGGATACAGTCTTAACAGGTCACCAGGCCCTCAAAGGGGCTGGTAATATTTGATTTCAGTCTGAAAAACTCACAAAAAGAGAAAAGACAATTAGGACTAATTTATTGAGACAATTACTTTGTCTTTGGCGCTCAGACCTCGGCAGGAAACATAGAGCTTAATTTTAATAGATAGGCATGGACAAGAGCTAAGAATTGGGCTGTTTCCCCCCCAGGCCTAAAACTGGTGGTGAAGTGGAGATAGATGAAGTTGGTCAGTCTGTAGACTGCTGGTTAGTGAGACGGTCTGCTGAGCTTTATGGAGAGATCCAGTGGACTGTGTGAGCTGATACTAGGGCTTCACTCAGGGACCTGGAATATGGAAGTCCAGTTGGATAACACAGGTTGAGAGAACCTGTCCATGATCAGCAAGCATGAAGCGACAGTGGAGAGGAAAAACTCTCCGTTGGGAGGAAACCTCTGGTAGAACCAGGCTCAACATGGCGGTCTTCTGCTGGACCGGTTAAGATGAGACGGAACGCAGTAAGAGTCCGGGAGGAATGACACTCCCAGGTGGGTTGAAACGGTGTATTCTGAATGAAGTCTAAGCGCATCTGCCGCCTGCGCACAGGTGCGTATCTGAGACCTTTTAAAATGAGCTTTGGATGCCGATTGGCTTTCGTGGAGGTGTGGTTCAAAGCTGATTGGCTGTGTAGCAGGTGGATGTATGAAAAAACAAGGAGTTTCTTCAGTTAAATTTCCACCTAGGCTCCATTAAATGCAACTCATTCTGATATATGTAGCTTAAACTCGTTGCCATTTCAGATGGCTTCCTACAAGACACAGTTTGGACTTAGACCAGATCTGAATACCATAAATCAGTAAGAACACAATCTAATCTAATTGCCATAATAACTGCTATCATAATAAATAGTGCTCTGGCAGTAAGGAAGGAGCTAAGTCCAGGAAGCACCAATGCAGTTAGGATAGACACCTCCTGCTGTTCCTAGCTGCAGCTAATGCTGCGTTCACACCGGACGCAGCAGGCGCTGCAGAAGCAGCGAGTTTACATGCAAAGTCAATGGTTGACGCGCGTCAAGGCGCAGCAAAATGTCCCGCGGCGTGTTTTAAGCAGCAGGTGCAGCGCGTCTGAGCAGCTGAAGAAACGCGTCAGGAGCGTTCAAGCGTCTGAACTTTAGCTGCTCGACGCCGCCGCAGCTAGGCTAACTGCATGTAGCTTGGCTAACTGCATGTAACTTGGCTAACTGCATGCAGCGAGGCTAACTGCATGTAGCTTGGCTAACTGCATGCAGTGAGGCTAACTGCATGTAGCCTGGCTAAATGTATGTAGCTTGGCTAACTGCATGCAGCGAGGCTAACTGCATGTAGCTTGGCTAAATGCATGTAGCTTTGCTAACTGCATGCAGCGAAGCTACATGCAGAGCGCTATGATACAGAGCGCTGTGATCACTCCTCTGAAACAGTTTATTAACGCCTAAATTAACTTAAAATGCTGAAACCTGCAGACAGAATATGTTCGCTTTTATTATCCTGCTGCCTGCAGTTTGGATTATTTTGATAAAAAACTCCTACCAGCCGCCGCTGTGAACCGCGAGGAGGCGACCTGGCCAGAGGCTGCTGTTGAATGGGATTCCTACTGACAGCGCATCGCTGGTATGTGATGGTAATCTGGATGAACTGACTGCAATGATTAAGTTTTCAGGTGGATTTTCTCACTTAAAAACATATTAAAACTACTTTATTCCCACTGATCACAGCAAATATAGCTGCAAGGCAAAGAAAGGATAGAGTAGCTCCGCCCAACGCGCGTCAGACACACTTTTGCACCGCGTAGCCAGAGCAACAAAGCTGCTTCAGTCGCACGTCAGAACTAAACTGGTACAAGCAGCAAAAAGGAACCAGCAGACGCGATTTTGCTGCTCTTGCTGCGTCCGGTGTGAACGTAGCATAAGAGCTCTATGGTTGTCCACAATCCTTTGCATGACAGGACGTATCAATACCCACCTCATTAGGGGAGTGGTGGCCTGGGGGTTAGGGTATAGAGCTTTGAGTTCTGAGTTCAAGCCCCACTCCCACAGACTGCCACTCCGGGTCTCTGAGCAAGACCCTTAAACCCCGCACTGCTGCGGGAACTCAGAACCTCAGCGTTCCAAGCTCTATGCCCTAACCACCTAATCCCCCTTAAACTGTTTGGTTTTAGCATCCAGGTACCTTTAATTATTGGATAGCTGATATTATTTTTACCAACTAATCCAAAGCAAAGTTACCTACAACATATGCATGGAATCTTTTTCTATGACTCCTTGTTCTCCTGATTTAATTTGAGAACAAATGATCCAAATAAAACATCCAAAGTCAGTAAGCATGAGGTAAATCTTATCCTTCATTATCATTTGCTGTAATATGGCTTTCGGGCAGGGTTAAGTCTAATCCCAATGTCCAAAGCAACAGTTCACACATACCACCATCTTTTTCTGGAAGAAAAATAAGCCATGAATCTGGATATAGACATTATCATTACACAAATATATATAAAATGTAAAAAAAAAAAAAGAAAAGGCCAGAATTTAGAGAGGGTGTTATGCTTTTTACCTTGACAGCAGAAGCCTTTCGGTATCTAAAGGATAAATTATCATAATGCAGCAAAGAGTGAAGTCACCATATGCTGCCTGGACAGCTTATAAAGGCCATTTATCTATGCATTCAACTATTCTTTGACTCTCCTGTGTGCTGGAGATAGAGACAAAGCCATCATAGGAGAGATATCACGACATTTCAGCAAGTCTGCATTGATTTGCTTTAATCTTACCAACAAATTGCTTCCTTTAAGGATAAAAGCTATATGTTTAATGTACCTGAATGCTTTTTATGTTAGATTTTATATGTGAATTAACATTTTTATTGTTTCTTTTTCTAAATGTTCCTTTTTAAACTAATCTATCACATATCAAAAATTGGAACTACAGTTTACAAACAGTTTTAAATCTAAAGAAATTTGGAGTGAATATTGTTTCAGCATCGCTGGACAGCTTAGTAAATACAAAATCTGCGATGGACTGCGGAGCTGTCCAGGGTGCACCCTGCCTTTCACGCCTAGACTGCCTGAGATAGGCACCGGATGAAGCGGGAGAAGATGGATGGATGGTAAATAAATAAAAAAGACTCCAAGGACCCAGGAGGAAGATGGGTGGATCTTTGAGTTGCATCTGACTTGGAACGTGCTCAGGAAGATGGACCTCCAGGTGCTTAAAAACATCAATTACAGATTGATCTAGTGCAGGGGTCGCCAACGCGGTGCCCGCGGGCACCAACGGGCCCTCAAGGACCACATGGGGTGCCCTCAACGCCTTCTGAAAACAGCAACTCAGCAGGGAGCTAAGTTTGAA